CAAAAGCAGCAAGCAAAAGCAGCAAGCCCAAAGCTGGAAGTAAAAAAAAACATCTCTGTCTACTGCTTGTCTCTGTGTCCTGATAAGAGAAACCCAAACAAAACTTCCACTCTTCAGTGCCGGTCTTAAAGGCACAGAACAGATGAATGGGGATATACAAGCATCATAACGTCACCCCAGGACAAGGCTCTTCTCCAGTAATAGGGAAAAAATTAGATTTGTCTGTATAGATAAGCATTACTGGCAGAAGAAAAGAGGGGAGCTAACAGTGTAGAGAATTTAAGATCTATAGTGATAGCTACTTATCAAGCAAAACCTGCAAACTTCTTGCTGTTTCTGGACATGGTGGCTAAAAAACCTAAAAGAATATTCAGCTGGCATTGTTAGACATGTATTTTGGAGAGATACTGTGTGGTAGTCAGTCTGGAAGCTGCACTATATTTTTTTCTAAATACTATAGGTCATGAAGGCACTTTATTTTACTGTTTCTTCATCTCCATTCTATTCATATTTCTTATTAATGGATTGAATGTGAAGCATGACATCCTGTGAGTGAAGCTCTGTCTGACTTCACTGTATAGCTTTTAGAAAATATACAGATGATGTATGGGCAGTATTCTTGTAGGGTACTGTGCCAAAGTACTGGTTTAAAGATGCAGTAATTTTTTTCCCTAGAAAATAGTCAGTGGTAACAGTTCAGCAAACTAGGGAAATTATTAATTGCAGACTATATTTATTCTTCTGAGACATATGAGAAACCTATATTTTCTACTCTTTTTAATTAGAATTGAAGAATTTTTTTCAGAATGGAGGTTAGGCAACTACCAAAGTAGCTAAAGTTGGTGCTACATGCTATTTAGGGTTTCAGGGCAGAACCCTGCCCTGGCCACTCAGTACTCTGAGTATCCTCTCTCCTCTGTTATTGCTTCCTTCAACCATGACACATCCTAAAACAGCTGCTCAAGAGAAAATTATTTTCAGAAAAAAGGTCTAAATTCCACAATTCTGGCATATTTCCTCAGTTCTGCTCTCGGGTCACACACACTGTGCCGCACATAAGGAAGTAGAGGCATGGCATTATTCCAGGCACTTTCCTGGGAGATCCTGCCCACAGCAAACAAGGTGTAACGAGTACTGAAAGGTGCTTGGAAGCTGTAAAGCTGCACTGAAAGTTTACCACAGTTGGTAGCTGCGGTATAAAACCACCTAAAACACGAGTATTTTTGTACTCTGGTTCACATGACAGGTCAGTCATGCAGCCTTCACACAATGCGGGTCATGTTGCTCTCAGAAATGTATTCGTGCTCTCGTGATTATCGACAGTTCGATGTGAAAATTACCGAAAATTCTGCTGCGAACGTGGTTTCGGAAAGAAGTCCTCAGAAGGGCAGGGCGGGCAGCAGTTCCTGCGAGCCCGGCGCACCCGTGGCCGGCGGCTCCCGCGGATGCAGGCTGCCACCGTGCGACCGACGCTCCAACACAAACCCAGAACGGCTGCCGCTGGAGACAAACACACGAAAGCTAAGACTCTAAACAAATTGTTTGCGGTATGCAGCGTAACTATGCGCTCTGCTTTCCTTCTTGGTTTTTATTCTGTGGGAGGGTGGATGATGTTTCTGACTAGGTAAAGACTCAGAATCAATCTGGTGGGGAAGCACAAGTATTATTTACTGCATATCACTGAAACGCTGCACTAAACAGGACTCATTTGCTTAAGGGCTTTTCTGTTGGGGCTTTTATCACTATGTCTGCCAGCTTTGTGAAGAGTACTAAGTATTTTTTGCAGTTTGTCTGGAATCTGATATAGTGTTACTCACTCTGTACAGAAGGGGGAAGTGAGGCATAAGGAAATTAAAGGCATCAATTGCCAAGAATAATCAACTAATTTTAGGTACTGAATTCATGAAATCTGATTGATTCCCTTTTTACCCCCTTACTTAGATATCACTTTACATATTCAAGGCACCAATTCTTGGCACCAGCTGCATCCCTGAATGTTCCAGTTCTGTGGATGAGTTTTGAAATGCTTCTCAAGCATCCAAAAAAGGGCTCACCTATGTGAGTAATGAGTACTACGTGGCAATACAGAATTATAGAAACTTGTATCCAAGTGATCTGCTCATTACAGCACTAGTAATCTGTAACAGGGCAGCACTGCCTGGCAGTGGGGACATGCTGTATTTCCTACAACAGTTATTGTTCACTGGCATACCTGCTTCTTCTACCAGTGCAGCAAGTTTGCTGCAGATCCCTTCATCTATACACAAGCTGCAAGAACTGACCAGGGAATGCATCTCTCAGGATTAACTGCTCCAGAATCAAATGCTTTAGGATTCAGTTTACTGTCTGGTTTCTTCTACCTGGAAGAGACTTCTTCAAACTAAAGCTTTTGGTGTGCTGCTTTTCATTCAAAATTTCTACAAAGTTTTGTTACCAAGATATAGACAGCAAGCCAGCAGGTCTTCTAATAGGTGCAGATGAGTATAGTACCCATTTTTTGAAGACACTGCTAAATCTTGCTTCCTTGTGTCAGTTTTGGCCAAACTGGTTTTTTTTTCCATTTTCCAGTGATGTTTGTCATGTCAGTAGTTTGAAAACCCTGTATTTTATTTCAATTAACCTCCCCCATCCACAGGAGGCCACATTTCAGTGCACTGCTAAGTCACTAGTACCTTCGTGTTAATACAGTAGATGAAAATTACCAGGAAGGGTGAGCAATCAGCAATATGTTAAATATACACAGTATGTTAATTGTTTCTGTGTTTTGCCCATTACTCTCTCACTGCAGCATTTTCTTTCTTTTCAGTGTCGCTCTAACAACTCTATAGCACTTGGGTTAGCCCAGGGCTACTGCAGAAAACAGCTCTGCTGTACTATGCAAAATTCAGGAACTGATCACTTGGAGTAAGAAAAAAAAAAGTGAGGTTGGTTCTCTTTTGCAGCTACTAAAGCAGAAATGAATCTTACAAACAATGCCTTACTCTCCAGTTTTATCCCTGACAGTAATATTTTCTTCAAAAGGATGATATATAAAAATAAATATTTATTCCATGTGTGCATACACACAATGTACTCAAAAAGACTCTTTCTGAAGTCTTGGTGGAGAAAAACTGTATCTGTAGGACTGCATTTTCAGAAGACACAAAATAGTTAGAATATTAATTATTTTTCATTTGAAGTTTAAGATAGGATTCTGGCATGGTGCTGACCTCTTTTCTCACATAGATACTGCCCATATTAAAGACATACCGTAGTGTACATTTAATTTCTGTAGGAGGTAGGTACCTAATCAGCCTTGATGACCACATCGAATTGCCTAAAATTAACTGAAAACTCCTAATAAATAGTACTTTCCTCCACTTGTGTTAAGTCACATGACATTCAGCAGAAATGACAGGGATCATAAAAATTCAGAGAGCAAGATAAGCAAATCTTCCACAGCATCATCCATAAGTTGCTGAATTTCTCATTCAGTTTTATGCTAGTTTTCCTCATGTCAATTCCCTACCAAAAAAAACCAAACCAAAACCAACAACCCCCCCCAAAACAACAAAACCAAAACAACAACAAAAATTGACTTCCACTCATCAGTTTTCCATGTGAAAAAATTCCTGTGCTGCTGATTTTGAGAAACAGTCTTCTTGGCAGGAAGTCCAGACTAGAGACAACTTACTCAAGGAAATCAGAGAATAAGTTAATACCACTGCTTCATGTGTCATAGCCCACTGTCCATGGAAAACCTCCCAACGTGCACAGGCTAAGTGAAGAGGTAACTGTAATGGAGAAATCAAATGTTTGTGGAAAAACCACATATTAATATTAAATGCTCTTAAGGGTTTATCACATGCCTCAAATATTAAAACTGCCTACACTAGTAGACTTTTGATGAGCAGGGAACAGCTGAAGCCCTCATTGTTTCATGCATAGAACACTATATGCATTTGATTTTGGCAGTTTTATTGTTTTGGGAGATCTTAAATTGATTAGGGTTAAAAGTTATACAAGTCAGATGCTGCAGCTTCTCAAAATGAATAGAAAACTGTTATATAACAGGAAAAGGAACACATGAGCTTCACTGTAGTGGAGGAAAAATTTACACCAACTTGCTTAGGTTTTAATTCATCTGACAGTGCACATTAGGAATAAGTCATCCAAGGATTAAATGGAAAAGGTCGTTACAGTGAAATGATGCATTGTGTCCTGAGAGGATAACAGTAAGGCATGGCCACATTGCCATTCTACCAACAAAATCTGGAACTGAAATGAATGATCAGAATATGTGCTTTTACTAGCGCCTTTTCTTAACACCCAGACAAATTAGATACCTAAAGCACTCTTAGATTCATAAAGGAGTAAAGTGGATTGGGCTAAGGAGGTTGGAGCTATTAATTTTTTTTTTCAGTTTGCCACAGTAGTTCCAAACTGCTTGGCAATGAAATGTGATAAAGACTATGCTTAAGTATCCTCTGTCTTTGTCTGAAGTGTCCAACAAGGTGATGGCCATTGCTCTGGCTTTGTAATGTTTGGTTCAATGCAATGATCTTCTCTCAGCTCAGACTCAAGTTTACCATCTGCTGATTCTTGGTCTTTGCAGGCTGCAGGTGGAATCTGTACAGCAGACACGATATCTCTTTTGTAGGCATTTATTTCTTTTTCAGCAAAAGAGTCTGCTTGGCTTGAATTATTAGATCTTTCAGATAAGCCAATATAGTCATGGTCAAAAACTACTGCACCTTGTAGAATGTAATGGTTGCCTGTAAAAGGAAAGTAGCCATTAGTTCAGATCTCTGAAGCCATACCTGAAATGTTAGTGAGGTGCTAACTTACTTTTCAAAATAATTTCCAAAAGAGGACATGAGTGTTTGAGTGACAGTATACTGATTATGTGAATTTCCCAATTTCACTGAGGATCAAATGTTTGGCATCTCGTTACATCCACAAAATAATCCCTGGGATGATCCACATTTACAGCTGTTCTTAGCTAAGTCAATGATTAGCTTGATGTTTATCTTAGTCACCTACTGAACTAATGCTTTAATACAACTACTAACTTGAATAAATGGACATGTAGATTCTTTCATTTTTGTGCATGCAAATGTGGTTTCTTCATGCTCTCGCTGGAAAATCTTAGTTCAACATGTAACAGGCTTCCTTAAACCATAAAAAGTTTAAAAAGTAAATAAAGTAGGTAAGTAAAAAAAAAAATGAAGCAAAAACCCCCAAAATCTATCCCAGCCAAGACCAAGACAGTCACTTCCTGAAAAAAGGAATTCTATATTTACACACTGCTTCTGCAGTACTCAGGAGTAAACATATTAGGCTCTAATACTACAAAGACCACTACTTTCAGCTCTTTATACAGTGACATAATTTACCAAAAGTTATTGTAATAGCCGTTCATTACCTATATGGTTGATATGCATGCGACTTCCTCCTCATGCATCAGCAATTTAATGAGGAACCAGAAGGCACAAAGTGATCATCCAAAAAAAGTAGAGGCCTCGTGACATGAGATGAAATCTGTATCTTAGTTACAAAATCTATAACTGATGACTGACAAAAATATTTCAGCTTGTTACATGAAATTCCAGAATTAGTTTCAGCATTGTGAATCTCTCAGCTTTAAGCAGAGATGGAAGAAATTACCATCTCAATGTAGTTTATCTATTTACAAGAACCAAAGTTTGACCACATGTGCCAAAACTGTGGGAATTATTTTGCTCTTCAAGAACCCAGAAGTAAAAAGCAGCTTGTTCTGCGACAGAAGTCTGTGACAATTAAAAGTATTTAATTTTTTTGAAAATGCCTCAGGTGACTCAAAGACAGCAAGAGCAGAAAAGAAACACCTGCCACTGTTTGATTTGCAAAGCAGCAGGCTGAAAATTTAAGACCAAGAGCAGAAGTTGACTATCCAAATCTTTGGAAATTTCTAGCCATCCTACCACAGAGCATGACAATACTATTTACTCTTGTAAGAGAAATGCTGACTACTTTAATAGGACAATTTAAAATAAACTATTTCAAAATCAGTTCCCTGATGTAGTCTTTCTATTTTACGGCTTTAGAAGACACTCCAATGTTGTTAAAATAAAAAGGCTCCATTGCATAAGCAAAATTAATGTGACTCCTGCCTACACCAAACAGACTAAGAAAATGCTCCTTGAATACAGGTCAGCCTGCTTATACTTCTAGCATATTCTTATACTTTTGTCAGCCAGCACAAATAGATCCAATCCAATGATTAGAAGCAACTTTAATAGAGGCTATTTTTAAAAAGAGTTTGAACATTATTCATGAGCTCTGTTCTGTGCTCTGCATAGTTTGACATGACACACACTCACTAGCTTACTTAGCTATTACACCACTGTGTGTGCTAATATAACTCTCACTGGTTACTAAATGATACTTTTTCATTCTAATAACCTAACACCACAAGAGAGAAGTTTAAAAAACCAAAACAAAAAACTCAACTCTTTTTACATATATAAAAACACAAACTTAAAAACTATTATATACACCTTTTTCACCGGACCCTCTTACATATGGCTTGAGGTGAGACATCTTGATGGGTCTTTTCAGCCTGGATCCTGTAGAATCTCTTAATATTGCACAGCCATTTTCTGTGATGTAATCTATGATACAAGGACCAATCCATTCCGACTGGAAACGACCATCTTTCCACCAGTTTTTTCTTTGCCTGAGGACTTCATGACCAACTTTAAGTTGAAGAGTATTTAATTGTTTTGACTTCCTTTTGACTGTGATTTTGGTTCTGATTTTTGGTTCATCTGGAGTTTTTTTATCTGCCTACAGAAAGATAAATGTGAGTTACTTTTTTTTTTCAAAAGTAATCATGCAATTTTGTAGCATTGGTTAACAGCGCTTAAGCATGACATTGAGTGGTGTTAGATGTGTGTAGTTTGTAATTATGTGGGACTGACAAGTGATGAAGAAATCACTTTTATCTTCATAAATCACTACTCTACAGGCAATAGTTTTCTACTTCTCTATTCCACCCTCCAAGTCAGACATAGTAAACTTCTGACAATTGGTCTCTTTTAAGGTTACTCCCTCCAAATACATACCTGTTACACCGAAATTAAGGGATCACAGGGGAAGGAAAACAAACTAAAAACCACCACTCAACCCCCCACATTATTTTAAAAGGTTAATTATACTTTATAGCTCAGAACTTTTCATCTTTATCTTCAATCTTCTTACTAGTAAAATTCAAATATATAAAATTTACCTGGCAATCTGAGGTTTTGTCTTCTTCCAGTGCTTGACTGAATTTTTTAGTTGCTTCAAATATTTTGGCAAAACTACTATATTCTCCTTCCACACACATATTCATGGGCTCAACAACACGTGGATTACGGTTGAACATTTGGAAATATGGAGTGTTTTGATCTGGCTCCTATTTATACGGGGACCAAAAGCAAGGAAATTTAGCATACAGCTTTGCCGACATTTTGGAGGACTTCAGTCAAAAGAAGAAGAATGTTCACATACCAAATTTGTCAAATTGAAAGCATAGGCTATAGCAGATAAATGTTCATCCCAATCATTTGGATGGTCTATGCAATACTTGTTAAGGAAAGTTTTGATTGTTTTTGAAATTTTTTCATTTACATCATGTGTCGTCTGAGGATAAGACAATACAATTTGCTTCATTCCAAACAGTGCAAACAGTTCTTCATTTATCTTCAAAATAAGAAGAACACAATTAGTGAACATTTCTCCTGTTTTGTATCCCATTTCAGTAAAAAAACCCTCAGATTTCCACCTCTTTGGTTGATATGATGGTGACTGGGAAAAATCTTGCATACCTATTGGCACAGAACACACCAGGACTGTGAATGAGAGCTAAAGCACTAAGTAGGGCTTAGGAGCCAGTGATTGATGGTTCCTAACCACATTTTTGCCATTTAATTTGATCTGTCATTACCTCCATGTCACAATCTGATGACTTCAACTCTTAGAGGAACAAAGTGTGGTAAATCCTTCATAATCACTATAAGCCAACTTCAAAAATACCTTTAGCTATTGCTATCCTGGGCAAAATGGATGAAAGACATACATCAGAACGCAAATTTGTGTACAAAAAGTGTACAAATTTATGCCAATTCAAGTAAGTGACAAAACCTGCAGTATGACTGCCAGGAGATAATTTTACTGTGGTCTTTTTACAAAGAATAAAGTCCTAGGAAACACTGCATAGCATTACAATTGCAAATAATTGGTTTGACATTTTTTATATTGTGCAGACATCTTTACTTTTTCAATTAAAGAAAAAAAATACTAAAGTCTTTCTGAAAAAAAATTTAAAATTCAAATCTAATACAAGGGAAAATGTATTTTTCTTGAGGGGAAAAAAACATCAACAAAAAACCGATTAACCAGCCATGTAAATAATTACCTGATAAACAAGCTCCTTCCCCTGATCAATAGGCATCTTTTGAGGTGGCCCATATAAGAAAAACACATTTATGATTGCCTTAGCAATTTCAGCTGCCGAAGTGTCATGCAGTGGTAAGATAACAGTCCATCTTGTAAACAAATCTGTCATAATTATGATGTATTTGTGACTTCTGTTGGTAACATTGAAAGGTCCTATTAGTTCTATAGTGACTGCTGTCCATGGATCCTCTGCTTTGATAGGGTGTATTTTGGGTACTCTGGTGGCTATGCTCTTTGCCACCTGGCAATGCTGGCAAGCATGCACCTAGAGAAGACATCAGGAAGGTGTTATCAAATGAAAAGTGATGGTGAGGTGATGACAACCATCAGATTCACAGATCTCCACTACATCTCTGTAAATCAGGTCAGACTAGGCAATGCAAAACAAATTTATCACTATTCTTTTTTTGCCCTTAAATTTTTCAGAAACAGCAAAAAAACCAAAATAAAACCAAACAATACTGAAGTCCAGGAATGGGACATGTAAAAGAACTCATAGCTGAATTCTCTCCATTATGAAAGCACTGTGCTCTTTCAAGTTCACACTACAAATTTTAAAATCCATTACTATCTGTAAATAATAAAGGAAGTAGGAAGCAACTGGGAGTGAAAGGAAGTCCCAATCATTCCCCTTTTGGCTCATCTATGTATGCTGTGACTGAAAAACACTGGAAGTATACATTATCTCCCATGCACAACAACTTAATCTATGGGATAGAGAACCTTCGTCCAATCTAAATTGAAAGGAGAGACTCATTTTAATGTCATGTAACAGTTACACATGAACTCAAAGTATTCACATGGTGCAGCAAGGCGATAGCAACAGTAATTTGGCCTTAAACTATTTACATAGTTTCCTGAACAGTCAAATTGTGCTAGGGGTTGCTGCGCCTGTATCTTCGGGTGGAGGAGAAAAAACTTTCCCAAGCTTTGATGTGTTTAACTATTTCCTGCACACAACTTATTGTAAAGCAGAGACACCATTTTCATATTCTTATCTGCTAGCAGCTACTCTGGTCACACATCCTTGTGATGGCCCATTGCATCCTAACAAAAATACGTGAGAGTCCTTCCACAAGAAATCTCTCTCAGGGACTAGATGTGCCCTGCTTACCAAAAGAGATTATGGCCCCCCACCACACCATAGTGGTGCACAAGCCAGTAGTATAGGAATAAAAAGTAGTAAAAGAACAAAAAGAAACACCATGCATTGCCAAGATGACCAGCTGCAGTGTGATTGCAAGCTTACATTTCCATCTAGTGAAACAGGCTGGGCACTTGCTGTACCAAAGTTCATAGGATTACCAAACATTTGTAACAGACTACATAAAGTATCCTGTAGCTATGAAGCCATACCCACTGCTTGACATCATTTGTTACAGAGGTCCAGTAGTAATTAGACTCCACTAAAGTCAGTGTTCTTGATATACCGTGATGAGTTCCAGCAGCACTTTTGTGGCATTTCTCAAGGACTTTTTTCTTCTCTTCATCTGAAACAATTACCAGGCGCATTTGTTTTCTGTCTTTTCCAACATAGAACAACTTGTTTTCTGAAAGAAGTACCAGCAAATTATAAGCAAGTGCTTAGTCTTCTGATTGGTTTACTAAACTAGTGAGCATGACTCAGAATAGAATTTATTACAATAAGTTCACTTTTGTAAACATAGCTTTTTGTTTATAAACATTTCAATTATGTCCTCCAAAGAGCCATTAGTTCAGCCATGTTTATTATCTGGACACAAGGAGTTACAAGTGCAAGTCAGAATGCAAACAGCATTCCCACACGAAATCTGACTGAAACACAAACTAACACTGGGGCTGGAAAGGGGAGGTAGGAGTGTTGAAACTGTTGTTTGTGAAGCTGTTGAGTGCCTGCCAGCAGCCTGACATCGATAGTCAAAGATTTAACTCCTCCCTGCCTTCTCTCTACACAACACTGGCAGTTTTGATGGGATTGAGACAGTAGAGCAGACTACAATGGCTCATAGAGGCTCATATATATCCCAAGGCTGAAATAAAGTTGGGAAGGGCCTGCAGGCTCTCAGGTGACTGATGGCAAAATTGTCCTTGTACTTCTGCCAGTCATCCCCCACAATGGATGTCTCTAGCTGCAGATCTATTTCCTCTTCTGTAATCCTTTCAATTATGGGTTGCAGTGAATACATATTTCTACAGTATAAAAAAGATAAAAAATGAGGTTTGGTTTTTATATAGATAAATAAATCTATCCTGGAATGGACTAAAGCAGATTGAGCTTCCATTTCTACAAACATCCTGTTATATATTAACCAGGGATTTGCAGAGCATTTGTCTCATAAAGAATGCTTATTAAAATCACAGAATGCTGCAAAGCAAGATCCCACATTTTTTTTTAATATTAGGAAATCTTCACCTTAATGTCTATTTTTAGCATAATTTGAGAGAAAAGTTTTACCGTTGAAAACAAATTTTTTGGCAGCTCTCCTGATTCCACTTCTTTCACTTGATAATGTTGTGGGATGATATTCCCCTGTTCGCTTGTAGTATGCAATCTGCTTCAAGTGAAGCCCACCACTTTTTCCACTACGAACCATTGCCAATCTGAACAAAATGGACAGAATTTATTAGATAAATTGTCAGAGAAAGACATTGTCAAGCTTTTACTTACTTCTTTGTAGCTCAGAGCTACATATCCTGGTTATGTAGCCTCTAAGAAGAGATTACACCATCCACTATACACATCCACTGTCAACTTTAGCAACAAAGAGCACTGCTTGAAACACTAATTTTGTTCTAAGCAGAGCTGATTTTGTCAAACTATATTTTAAAATTTCCACACAACGGAGGCTTCTACTACATTCATTGGTCAGGCAAAGGAAATGGTATCAGAGAGAAAGAAACTGTTCTTCTCATTCTTGGATACCTCTCAAATTCAGTTGTGCTTGCGATAGTCCAAAGATTCATCGTAGCTGAGAAAAATGTACATAGGCAAATAGGAAAAAACCAACTTCCCAGAGAGAAATGAATGGAAATTTATTTTTTTACTAATTAATCAGACAATTAGATTTTGAAATTCCAAACCAGACTCTGCCTGTGAGGTAACAATTTGTTCCTTGACACAAGCCAACTTCCCTGATAACATTAATAAGCAATCATGTCATTAGCAAGATGGGCCACTGATACAGAACCTGTTTGGGTTTAGCAAGAATAGCATCAAAATAATTATGTAATAATGAAAATTGAAATATTCACAGATAGGATAATTGATGCAGCCTCTACATCATTTGTGGTTTGCTTTTTTCCCCAAATCTTTTCCAGCAGCATAGACAAGGCAGTAGTTTAATCCTGCTTTCATCAATGTCTGCAGAAGCAGGACCAAGCTTGGGGTCAGCCATGTCATAATTTCATAGTGAATACTGGTTATCCACAGCATTAAGTAAATTTATTTCTTATCCTGCCACTGTTTCAATGCCAGACTGTGACATTATGTAGTCTGCTAAAAAGAGTAATTAGTTTGTCTGCCATATGTGATAAGTGGCTTATAATTATGGGAAAGTGACAATATCCAGTCACTCTGGAATGAACATCATTTCATTATGTGGTGATGCTATTTGAAAATAAAACGTGCAGGACAAGATGTCCATTTTTCAATTTATAGATTCTGACCTACCTTTACTATGCCGGTGGTGGTAAGGAGGTAAAGACCTCTTAAGAGTGATTATGCCTTTCATTTCATCCTTTCCTCCCAGAAAATAGAATGCAATATGTCATTTTTGAAACCTGCACCCTGAGCTAAGCACTGCTGCTAGCAATGGCTAACGCGTGACAGGAACTTCCCATTCAAAATGTGACAAGGCTTTTGCCTCACTGAATACTTCATTTTATACAAGCAGGAGTTGGTTTATCAAAACAAGCCAAGTCTCCTGTCATACAGCATTAGTGCTCTGAAGTAAAATTTTCATACCTGACAGAACTAACACAGATGTACTTCCCAACACCACGATCTCACCTGTGAAAAAAGACAGTGTTTCAGAACAGGGAAGGAGAGGAGCCAGAACACAGGACTGTTCCAACACTGCAGTTTCCTGTAAATTTGTATCTGACAACACATGCTAAACCAACCCACCAAACCGGTAAACTGGATAACTAACAGCAGAAAAGGAGGTGAGGCTGCCATGAAGTAAATTCATGTTTCTGTTGTTTAAAAGAAGTCAATTAACTAGTATTTCTGACAGTAAAAGAACATTGGTGAAGGGCAATTAAAATATCCTATCCACCAGGGGCACACATTCAAGTTTTACTCAGGGGCTTCCTTAAGGCCAGTCGTGCACTTACGTACCCTGAAGTCAAAACTAGCCCAGTATGACCTGTTACTCAACCACAGGGATGATGGATTATATGGCTTGACACAGACTTTCACACCTGGGAAGAAAAGATCTTACAGCACAATCTTTATTTTTCCAGTACTATTGAAACTTGCCTGAAGTAGCGAATATTCTCCATGGATCCCAAAATTGACCATTTTAATAAAATGAAGTTGCACTGGAACAATATATTTCTAACCAGGACCACAGCATACACTTCTGCTAAGCAGACATGCTATCCACATTTCTGCAATGGCAGTTTCTCTTATAAGCATTTTGAAGAGCTTAGGTAAGCCAATGAAAGAAGAATGCGCCTCTTTCATTGGCTTAACCTAATGTAGCACCCACATACATTAATTTAGTAGGATCCTGATCCAGCAAACTGTTAAGCACTTAAGTCTGCTGGACTGCGGCCTAATATAAGCTTGCTTCCTGAATATTTAATTTCTTATGCCCCTACTAATCTTTTCTCCCACTACCTAATTTATTTTGTTTGGCCTATTCCCCAAAAATGCCAAATAAAACAGCCCTGAAAAGAACAATTTATAAAATCTTCTGGTTTTCTTATAATTAATTAATTTCATATAATTAATATGCTATATCTCAATACTCATAATGCATCTGGTAGCCTAAAAATCAAAGACATAAAATCAGCTACCCATTTTTTAGTACCTTATAAGTTCCAAAAGTGTGCTCTAGAAAGCATTTTAGCAAAGAGAATGAAAATTCCCCATAACTAGTGGTCTTTTAGCTTTAGCAGCTTAGCCAAAATAGTCACACCTGCTAAAACTAAGCTATTTCATCCTTTAATGCCCATTTTCTCCTACAGACAAACGCAATCCTAACTGTAAAACTATTCTTGCAGATTTTGACCAATTCCCCTACTTCTGACTGCTGTTCTTATAAGAAGCAGGAATTGCCTGTGGAGCACTGAATCATGGTCACAGAATGGTTTGGGATGGACTTTAAAGAACATCAACTTCCAAACTGCTGCCGGGTTCAGGGACACCTTACACTAGATGAGATCCCTCAGAGCCCCAAACCCACTTGGGTTCAAACGCTTCCAGGAATGGGACAGGCACAGCTTTTCTGAGCAACAAGTTCTAGTGCCTCACCATCCTCTCAGTAAAGATTTTTTTCCTAATATCTGCTCTAAACTTGTTCTCTTTCTTTGAATGCATTCCCCCTTGTCGTATCAGTATATGTTCATGTAAGAAGTCCCCCTCCTGTTCCCTTAAAGGCTGTTGCCAGTACACAGCTTCAAAACACCGCTTTTCTAACCCAGGTGCTTCAAAAAATGTGTCAATCAGACTAACAGACTCTCTTACATTCCGCCCTGGTTTTGCAAGGTGCGACAGAGGGCTGGGAAGGGCGCCTATGAGGCTGAGTGGGTAGGCACGCGAAGCCGCGTCTTGCCGCCCGCGGCAGCCTCAGCTGCCATCCAGAATTCCAGAGATTCCCCTCGGGAAGGCGCCTCTGCCTCCCTCCCGCCCACAGCATGCAGCGCGCCCAGCGTGCAGCGCGCCTGCGCAGGGCATGCCGGGAGCTGCGGTCTCGAGCGGTCATCCCCTGGGCCTCGCACCCCGCGCATGCACGAAACGACGCCAACGCGAACTTTTTGCTTCCCGCCACCGCCCCCCGCCGCCCTCTCGGCCCGGCGGGCACACCCGTGAACATCCGCCTTGCCGCGGGCACGCACCTGCTCCGGCAGAGGTACCGGCAAGGCCCGTTGCGGGGGCCACAGTTTCTTGGCCAGACCAACCACAGCCACAGCCCCAGTGGCGCCCCGAGACTTTTGTGGCGCCCCCGGAAGTGGCGGGAGGGAGAGGAGGGGGCGGGGCAGCGGCGGTGCCGCCTCCTGGGGGAACTGCGGGCCCGCTGCAGGCAGGTGAGGTGGCTGTTCCCTTCCTTTCCTGCCTTTCCCGCCTTTCCTTTCTTCCCATTCCTGGCCCGACCGGGACGCAGGTAGGCAGCGCGGGTGGCTGATGCGAGCGGGAGTTCCCCTGAGAAGCAGTGTCGCAGTGGGCGGGCAGCGCAGGCAGTGCGGCTGGCAGAGCCCCGCGGGCTCCCCCCCCGCTCCTCGGGCACGCCCAGGGCTGCTGCGGCGGCCACGGCCTGTGTGTGCGGGCAGCGCTTTGTCTCTGGGTCGTTCTGCTCTCGGACGGGGTTTCGCTGAAGCTGCGGCGGTGCCACACACCGGTCTGTGAGGTTGCAGTGTGCTGTGCTGTCAGTGTCAGGTGTACCAAAAGGTACAGATGAACACGGGGTGAAAGGTGGTGTGTGCCTAAGCGGGGATGGGGAGGGAAGTGAGAGAACACCTCTTGGAGCTGTGCGTTTGGAGCACTTTGTTAACATCCAATAACTGGTGATAGATTCAGTATAAAATAAGTTGCAGCAAGGGAGATGGCTATCTGTAATCAGAATGGGGGGGGGGGGGAGGACCAGCAGGAGCCCTGAAGGTGAGAATTGATTACCTATCAAGAGCAGAGATGAGAGAGATGTAAAGACTGTATGTCCTGTGTTACATTTATCTTTGTTTTCGTGGTGTTTTCCAGAACGTGGGAACTTTATAGAGTATTGGTAAGCTTTGAAAATGCTGGGGGTTTGGCACTGCGATTGTTTCCCTGTAGTTAGTCACGAACAGTAAGACTGGGGGATGGATATCTGTATCATAACCACAAGGAAATACGTAGTTTTCTTTCTCATAGAAACTTCTTCTGCTGCTTGGGTACCTTTACAGCTGTTTGTTACAGTGTTTTTGGATTGTTGTATTAGTCTTTTTAAGTGCTGTTTCCCTCTGATCTGTTTAGTCTGTATCTTTCCAACTTTTCTGCATCCCTTCTGTATCATCTTTGTACTCAAAGTAGCAAGTGAAGGCTGTTTTTCCTTGGAGTATCAAAATTCTTGTTGAATTCATCTTTGTCTTGGTGAACAAGGTTTGATTCAATCAATAACAAGACTATTCTTCGTATGAAACACTTTTTTATACTATATAGTGATCTTTGTTACCTTTTTTAGCCTATTTCTTGTCTGTTGTGGTTCAATATGTAAGAAATTAGAATTTTTATACTTATTGGCTTGTCTTGGTTGTCTTATTCTTTCTATGGAAAAAGTTTCGCCCTTCTGGCAGTTGTGATTAAAACAGATCAAGGCCTCCAGAGGCTGAGGCAAATGAATTTGGGTACAGAGTTTTTTTTTTTTCAAAGCCTGTCATCTCTACAAAGCTAAATTAAAGCTCTTTGTGAGAATCTGGAGAAGCTATTTTGACGTCTGTGAGTAGGATTTTAAAAAAATTTGGAAGCCAGCCTTCCTGAAATATTCAAACTTGTCTCAAATATAAATGACTTTATGTGATATGTTTGACAGAGTATGATTTAGAAAGGAACTTGGAGGTTAATGAATGTGAAGGTTATCTGCTCTGTGCCTATGCATGAGACACTTAAAACACATGCCAGATACCAGTTTGTGTGGTTTGCCAGTTTAAAATAACACTGCCTTCCTGTGTGGAATGTAAGAGATATTTACTCTTGGGGTTTTTCTAGACTTCTAAGGCTGTTTTAACACTTCTGTTAAGGGATAGTAATTGTTTATTTTGCAGTTTCAACCAGAGAGTTGAAATATACCTTTGAAGATAAAGGTATGAAGTTTGAAGATAAAACTCAGTTTTACTTGTGTTGAAAAGTTGCTCTTCTGCTGGTGAACTGCTAGGGAAAAATAAGTTCTGCAAGCAAAGAACTTGGTCAGGAAAAGACCCATTGAAAAGTTATTTCACTTTAGGTTTGGTAATTCAAAATTACTGAAAATACTTTGCCTAACTTACTATATAATTGCTGGGAGAAAAGGTAGACATGGGGAAATCAGCCAAGTAGTTTGAAAACTGGAACAGTTGTGCTTTAAGATCAGAAATCTTATTTTTGAACAACCTAGAAGGCATGTATCTCCTTGCTGCAAAGCTAGCCTCTCAACAGACTCCTGGCTTACGTGGCTCTTCTCAGTTTTCTGTTGCTAAGATACTGTAATACAGAGGATCAGACTGAATGTTACTTTTGGTAGAAATCTTTTTTTGGTACAAATACTCTTGGAAAATAATAACAGTCCCCAGAAAAAGACTTAGGCAACTGAAGTTTATCAGCCTGTCTATGTAGAGTTTTGAGAAATGTTAGGTACTCCTGAGCAGAGTTCCAGTAGGAAATGTCAGTAAGGTGGGTATTTCTAGATTCCTGATGCTTGAGAGTGGGTGCTTGGAAGTGTCTCATTGGTAAGATTCGGCAGACTAAAGACCTGTCTTCTGCTTGAAATACTGAATCAGCAATACTGATTCCCTTTCCTGTAAAAAGCAATCCAGAGGCCACCTTAAAAAAAAAAAAAGGAATAAAGAAAAAAACCAAAACCAATGGCATAACAAATAAACAAAACACAAAAACCCTGTTAGTGGTGAAGAGAGAAAGTGAAAGGATTGTAATAGCCTAGTGGTTAGAACAGTTGATTGAAACAGGACAAATACTATCTCTGTTCTCTCCTGTGTCAGAGGTTTCAACTCCCTGTTTTCTGTTAATCAGAAGTGTGTCCTAACCACCAAGCTGAAAAGTGTGTAGGTAAAAACATCTGCATGCATACATTACTGCTGAAGTTGGAGTATGAGTAACAGTGCATAGTTTTTCTTCCCCAGAAAACACATTCATTGGCCACCAGGTGCTTACTAAGCAGAATCATGGAGCAGATCCTCCAGGGCACTTGGAAGATAAGAAGGTGATGGATGACAGCCAATGTGACTTCACTAAGGCAAATTTGAAAAATTTAGTGGCCTTCTATGAGCACCTTCCAGTAAGTCAAAGGAGACCGACTACAAGAAAGCTGGAGAGGGACTATTTACAAAGGTCTGTAGTGATAGGACCAGGGAAAATGACTTTCAGGATGAGGAATGAGAGATTTAGATAAAATATTTAGAAATTCTTTGCTGAGGAAATGGTGAGGTACTGGCACAGGTTATCCAGAGAAGTGGATACCCCATCCCTGGATGTCTTCAAGGCCAGGTTGGATCAAGCTTGGAGCAGTTTGGTCTGGGGAATGTTCCCTGCCCATAGTAGGGGTTTGGAACCCTTTGAACCAAAACCATTCTCTGATTCTTTAATATACAATGACACATTTTTTACATAAATTTTCTAATATATTAATTTATTCATCCATGAAGAACCACTTGAGCACTTAATATGATCTCCAAAGTAAAAGAGGGTTCCATCCTGGAATAGCATTCCTGTCCATGTGTCTGCTTCATGGGCTATAGCTCCTGCAAGGGGCACAGGCTCTCTGTGGGCTACATCTTCTTTCAGGGTATAGCCACAACCTCCGGTGTGGGGTTCCCTGTGGGCTGCAGGTGGATCTCTGCTCCATTGTGGACCTCCGTGGGCCTACAGGGGCACAGCCTGCTTTACAGTGGGCTGTCAGGAAATCTCTTAAGTGCCTGGAGCACTTCCTACATGCCCTTTCTGAATGACTTTGGGGTCTGCAGAGTTGTTTCTCTCAGTTATTGTCACCCCTCTCAGCTGTTGAGCAGTGTTCTTTACCCTTTCCTAAGTACCTTTTAGGAGAGGCATCGCCAGCATGGCCAAGGGGCTCAGCTTTGGCAGCAGCAGGTCCATCTTGGAGCTGACTGGAACTGGCTCTGTCTGACATGGGGACAGCTTCTGGTGTCTCTCACCCCTGCAGCCCACTCACCACCAGAACCTTACCAGGGAATCCCAATGCAGGCACTTGCCTGGCAAGGAAGACTGTTTTTCTTCTTGAGAAGGTTTTTTCAGGTTTCAGTGTAGTGAAACTGGAAGGTGGATAGTCTCTTTTGCAGTGGGAACTGCTGTGGTTTTTCTGGTGGAGTAATACATAAACTGCTATATAGTAATGCTTCTGGAACATTGTAAAAATATCTGCAGTGCTCCCATAGACAGAAAGATCTATGCAAGTGACGACTGTAAACATGTTAAATTCTATCTTTTTATCTTGTCATTGCATAGGTCTTTTCATGTGGCAGTCTGAGAGCTGTGCTTGGCTTGTAGGCAGTATCAGCATCTGGCTAAAAGCAACACATAAAGGCTACTTTTCATCTTTTCTCAAGATTCTTGTCATGATTAGGGAATATGTTAGCATCTTGTGAAATCCAAAGCTCAGTGTTTGTTTGATGCAAGATTGGAGCAGGTGACTTAGTTCTTGTAAAGCTGTGTGATGTTGTCTTTATAATACTCTTTTTTCTTTGTTACCTTTTTTTAGCCTATTTCTTGTCTGTTATTTTGCACATCAATAGAGTTTCTTTCCTAATGTTACTGAGATGCAGAGCTGAGTTACTGAAGATGATGATAAATTTCGTAAGGCTATTGAAGTTAGTATTTGCTGAAGGGAGACAGAGTTTTTTCTCAGCTTCCTCTACTATACTTGGACCTTATAAATTCCAGTACTTATTTAATACCCTTATATCCCCCTGAATTTCATGATTTTATGATTTGTTTCTTTATGGGTTTTTCTTTGTTGGGGTTTGGTTGGTTGGTTTGTTTAGATTGTTTAGGTTTGTGGTTTTGTTGTTGTGTAAAAATTATCAGGCAGTAACTATGACATTCTTTGTGTTTAAGAGATACTGGGATAGAGCTGCTCAATAAGTCTTTTTCAAATTTAGTCCATCTCAGTAATGTGCTGACAGCTACTGCTCAGCACCTCACAGGATGCGTGTGGGGAGCAGAGCAACATCTGTAAATGTAAATGTTAAATTTTAAATTTATTTAAATTTTGTATTTAAATTTTTTAATTTAAATTTTGTAAATGTTAAATTTTTTATTATTGATTACATGACATGAGAAATTTTATGCTTGAGTTCTGTCCAGTTTTAAATTGGAGAGAATATGTTTGCTTGCTCTGTAAGGTACAGCAATAAACCAGTCATATATTTACTGGCAGCATCGTCTTCAGCAGCTTCTGTGTTTGACATCCGTTTCCTCTTTCCCTGCTTTTTGACTGTCCTGTCTCTTCTCTCTTCCTGGTTGTTTGTTAGACCTGAAAAAATGGTGGCTTTGAGTATGGGTTCTTGTTAGTAGTTCTAAAGTCTCATATTTAAGTTTGAAGTATTATCGGCTTTTTTTGAACATCTGTAGAAAGGTGTCACACATGCATGGAGAGCTCTTGGGCTTGCCGTGCTCAGTGCTCTCAGCTGGCAGACTCCACTGTTCATCTTCTTCCTGTCTGTCCTCTGCTTTCACCTTTTTTCCTCCTCATGCTTTCTTTCTTGTGTCACCAGCAACCCAACAAACTGTTTGTCTTTGGTGGTTTCTTGCACCATAAATCATATTGCAGAATTTGAGTTTTGAAACAGGTAAAATGCCTTAGCAGGAGTCAGGCAAACATTTTCACTGCTAAATGTACTGTTAATGAAAATACTAGCTATAGTGGTTGTAGCAGGAAGATATTGAAAACCTTTTGTCAACTTGAGACTATCTGAAAAATTGCTGTTAACATTATTTGTGTTTTAATGGTGTATTTAAATTACTGGAAGCTGAAAAGGAATGCAGATGGAATATTCCTACAGCATGAAAAAAGTGAAACTTATTTAAAAGTGTCCTGGGGTGACTTTATGATGCTTGGATCCCCATTTGTCTGTTTAGCACAGAAATAATTTTTTGCACCTTTGAGATTGGTTCTGAGGGCGATGGGGGGGAGAGTGAAAGTGTACAGTTTGTTTTCAGACACTGCACTCACTCCTCCACATTCCTGCTTCTGGACTGTGCTGTCTTGTGGACGGACAGACAGTGGGACAGAGCTCTCCTTTGCTTTTTAGTTTCTAGCTAGCTAAAAGAAGCTTAGGGGGGAGTTCCCTGGACTGTGGTTTTTCTTTTCTTGGACCTGTTTAAACCTGCTCTGGACTGAAAACCCAGAAGAGCACCAGGAACTCCCACCTGTGGCCAGCAGGCTGGGCCTGGGCCTTGACATTTTCAGCACGGGAGGGGCTGATAAGAAAGTGAGGGAGCTGAGCTACAGCCCACCAAGGGAACTTTCTGAGTTTGTCATCTCTTCAGAGCAGCCAGAGGTTTTATTGATTAATAGTGTTCTTTTTTTTTTGTGCTGCTGAATGCTTTGTCTGTTAAATAAACAGGTTTTTCTGTTCTTTTCTGAAGAAATCTTTCCCTGAACCAGTTCAGCGAAGGGCCACTTGTGTTTGCTTTCTGGAGGAACCCCTTTGGAGGTTTTCTCCCAAATTTGCCCCAAACCAGGACAAAAAGGAGCTGTATGGCAGTAGAGGACAGGGCAGTGGTCTGTTTTGTTGCTATTATGCTATTATTGCTATTATTTCTCTTTAGAGGAAAGTGCCCTCATTCCAGGGCATTTTCTCCTGAAACTTGTGGGTAAACAGTGCTGTCTCTCCAAATCAGAAACAGCATTGTTTACCCACACCTAGCCTCTGAATTAGGACAGGTTCTTTCTGGGCAACTTCTGCTTGCCATCCCCCTTCATGGTTGACCACTAGTTAATTTACTATTGCTTCACTTAGTTCATAGGACAGCCAAAGTAATTTTCATTGATATTTAAAAACAAATTCAGTTCTGCTGAGGCATCACGTTGAATGGCACTTGCGTAATGCCCTACAAGTGAACAACCCAACCCGTTGGATCAGATGAGCTTTTTAACTGCTTGTAAAGTAACTGCTTATTAGTTTTGTAAGTAGTAGTGATACATTGTATTTTATTTTCACATGACAGCTTAAAAGGGTACAATATGTGTTTGCTTCACTGGTACATTAGTGGTTAGAAGTCCTTTTGTCAGAAGGCAGTGCTAGTGTCCGTCTCTGTAATTTTTAATTTTTCTCAGTGAAAATAAGGCAACACTTTGTTGCAAGCTGCCACATTGTGTTTTCATAAAAAAGATTCACTTGAGTTTTAAGACTAGGGTTTTTTTAATATTCCTAATGATGGCTTTATGTTTTTCACTAGCACAGACAGTAGCCTGTGTGCAATTGTCATTTGATCACAAAATTTCTGTGGAAAAAATAGCCAATGCCATGGGTAGTGAGTTAAATATTGGAGAATATTTTTGTTGTACATTTTCTGTAAAAATACTCTCCATTTAAGCCTTCTGAAGTTAGGAAAAAATTGCATTTGCATAGCCTTTACTTCTGTGAGTTTTATTTTCTGTTTCTCAAATTTATGCGTGAGTAGTTTGATAGTAAATTTGAAACTGTTTCCCATGCTCTAAATGTACATCTGAAAGTGTAGCCTATGTGTGGTGCACCTGTTTTATTTCTGATGCTTTGCTCAGAGGTACATAATTGTCCAAACACTTTTTCTAAGTAAAAAGATTTTATTTTAGATCCCTTTATCAAGTGTGTCTTTTTTTTTTTTTTTTTTTTTTTTTTTTTTTTTTTTTGTGTAGCACAGTGGGTTTCTTGGAGCAGCAATTCTGATCGGTAATGAGCAGATGATAACAAGTTAAACAGTGCCTGGTCAACAACGCAATCACAGTGGCAACAGTACATAAGCAACATCAAAGAGCCGGGGACTTTGGTGTCCCCGTGTCAGCAGGAAACATGCCCAGGATCTCAGCTGCCAGAGTGCCTGCAATTTTTACTTAGATTTCTATAGGTCTTGTAGCCATGTCTGTTAATGCAACAGAGAATGATCCTCCCAGATTCTTTGTGGGTGGAGAAGATGGAGAAGGATTATTGGATTCAGCCAGATCTACAGATTATGAACACTTCTATGACCATGGGGAAGAAGAGGAGGAAGAGTATGACTCTGTAAGTACTGTAAGAGCACTTGTTCACTATTCTTTGTTCTCAAGCAATATTTTTGATTTCCAATTTTTTTTCAAAAATGGTTTATAAAAATATTTTTCAAAATATTTTTCAATATTTAATTATTTTTCAAAAATGGCATTAGCTCACATAAATCTAGTACTGAAATTGTGTTCTAAATTGAGAAATTGTTCATATTCAGATAATGATATGTCTGTAATGTTTGGAAAAGAATATCAGAAAATTTTGTATACCTTGAACTGTGAAGTAGATGTGCTAAGTTTTAGAGAATTTCAGGGCAACTGACGTTGATGTGCATCATTTGGAGACTTGATTTGGATTCTGGGAATGAACTTGATGATGGCATAAGCCTCTTTTGCTTATTTGGATAGTTGGAAGCAAAAGAATTACTGGGAATTTTTCTTTTGTATGCTGTCAATTGCTTCAGAGTTAAGTTTTGTTTTGTTTTTTTTTTCTCTTCCCTTGTCTTGGTATATTAAAAGTGCATGCTAAGTTCATCTTAATTATGCCTTAGTTTATTATATCTATAAAGGGTTCTGAATTGTATTTTGAGCACTGTGCTCACTGATTTTTAGCTTGCTTAAGACAAACTCTTAATGGTATTATGCATTAGTCATCATGTCATTTTTTTAACTCTGTGTTGGTTGTTCTTTTTGCAACATAGCATTTTATGGAACAGATGACATTTTCACTAATTGTGAATTTGTCTAAAAGGTTTAAATGCAAGACAGCGTTGCTAAAGCACTTCCTATGATTAAAAGTAACTTGGAAATGCAGAGTAGCAATGCAAAATGAACAGCTCAGGTATCTCAATTCAGTGAGCCTATTTTGGCAAGGGAAGGTAGCTGGCTAGGTTTACAAAAAGCATGAAATTGATTTAAAGGATTGCTCTGTGGGTTTTTTGTTTGTTTCCTTTATGGAGCAGAGTATGTTGGCTGTTGCCTTTAGAAATATCAGTGACAGAAAAAAATTACTGAAATTTTAACGTGAAAGTAAATATAGAGTATGCAAAAAAAGTGTAACTGTTTACGCACTAAATAGTTCAGAAATCTAGAAAAGTAGTTTCTTGTTTTCTAATATTCCTTTTCATAATTCACTTGTAATATTAGGTGATGAGAGGCCTTGTGACTGTTAATTAAACATTTAAAATGACATAATTGAAAAATCAATTACTAGTTAATTTCAGAGTAAGCCATAAATACGATTTTGTTCAGATCCAACACTCTTGACTTAGCCTTTGTTCATGTCTTTTTGTTGCTGGTAACAATACTCAAAAAAAGTAATATAGAGCTGTAAATGGTTTCACTCTTGAGGCATTTTTTTAGGATTTACTGTGATATGCTGTTATGCTGCATTTTGTTATATTGCTGATTAAAAACTAAATTAATGATACCATGTGAATTTTAAGAGAAAATACCTGCTCTAGTATTGTGCTGCTAAAACCCTGTTGTGTTTCTAAAATTTAGAACACATAAAAATTACTTTTCCCTTCCCCCCGCCTCCTTTCCAGCCACCAGAAAGACAAATTGCAGTTGGGATTTGTTCAATGGCTAAGAAATCAAAGTCCAAACCAATGAAAGAAATTCTTGAACGCCTCTCCATGTTTAAGTATATAACTGTGGTGATATTTGAAGAGGATGTTATTTTGAACGAGCCAGTAGAAAATTGGCCTTTATGCGACTGTCTCATTTCTTTTCACTCTAAAGGTAAATCTCGTAATAATACCATAAGTAGTTGTGCCATCTAAACTGATTAAGCTCTTTTAAAGTCCTTTTAGGTTTTTTGTCTTGCAGTTTAATTGGATTTTCCTGGGAGGTGATTCTTTTTTCTTCTTTACTATAATACAACTGACTTCTAAAGTGTGAGTTTATTAAATTATACTGTTTACATTGCTTGAGAAAGTCTTGTCTGACACAATATAAGAATAGCTGTCCCACTGGTAAATACATTTGAAGCCCGTGGAAACAGTGATGTAATGCAAAGGCTCAAATTCTTTACTAGTAAATTAAATTACTGTGTCTTGTAATTTTTATTTGTTTTTCTTAATAAACATTTTAGGGTTTCCACTGGACAAAGCTGTAGCTTATGCAAAACTCAGGAATCCGTTCATAATCAATGACTTGAATATGCAGTATCACATACAAGACAGGTAAATAACACTAATCACCTTTTTTGTCAGAGACTATAAAAATTTGTTGTTATTGCATAGCAACAGTTCCAATGTATTGTCCCTGCCCATGGTGGAGGGTTTGGAATCAGATGATTTTTAACATCTCTAATTCAAACCATCCCATGATTCCATGATTGTATAGTAGTTTAAATAAAAGTACAGCGAATGTTACACTTTATTAATGTATCATGGTTTCCTGGAGTGTGTCTCCAGGTGTGTGTTTTTCTTTTGCTGTTTTTGCATTGATATATGTGAAGATTTACCGAGTTAGAAATTTGCTGGTACAATTTTCTAGAGCTTAGCAAATAAAAAAAGTTTAAACTCTTAAAGTACATATAGGATAGGTATGTATAGCAGCTGTACAAGCTCAGATAATTGTAGAATTCATGTGATTTACAGTAGTTTTTTTCTGTAAAGATGATACTTAACAGAAGTTGTTGGTACTCAAAGGTCATGTGGTTATTGAAAGCAAATTTTCTTTTGGAGCTAAGGTCATGCATAGCAAACATTAATAAAACAACAGTAAACAAAATACATGAATACTGCATCTGAACAGTGAGCAGACTTGCTATTTTGGATGCCTTCAGTCACTGTTCTGTGTAAAGCTGAACAGTTGAAAATCTCCTTTAACAACACAATTGTTTTGTGCAAATGTCTGTTGCACTGCCAGATAGGAAAGGACTGGCATTGCAAAGTGCATTTTTATTGATGTTGAAGAGATCACTGCAAGGGTACAGCTGTGTCAGTGACTTTTAAAGCATTATATTGGTAAATAGAGTATTATATATGTAACCTTACCCTGTGTGATTTGAAAAAAAAAAAGTGTTTTTTTTCCTCCTCCTTGATTGTAAAATGCAAATATTTGCAGGATTTGGTGGCTCATTTCTTCATGTGCTTTTCTTCTAGAAGAGAAGTCTATGGTATTCTTAAAGCTGAAGGAATTTTACTTCCTCGCTATGCAGTTCTGAACCGTGATCCAAACAATCCCCAAGGTAAAAAGAACAGAGAAAAATTAGCATCTCGCTGTTTCCACTGGAGAACAATATGGACATAGTGGAAAGCTAAATTTCACTGCTTAGACAATTAATTTTTGTGGTTTGATTTCCACACCAGCATTTAAAGTGTTGTTGTGGGCTGACCTTTACTGGCTGTGGGATGCAGTATATGAAAGAAAAAAAAAGAGGCTGAGGCTGTGTAAGCACTGTTCAGCATTAACAAAAACATCAAGACTTTTGTCACAAGTTCAAAACATAGCACCATACCAGCTGCTGTCAAGAAAATTAACTCCATCCCAGCCAAAGGCATTACAAGTATGCAACTGAGAAGTGTGATTCTGACACCATGCATGTTACAGACATCATGGAATAACTAGAATATAGGGCCTCCTTACTCAAACTGAGCTTCTAATATGCCACTAAACAGAGCAGCATTCAGGATATTATATTAACCACAATTATTAGTAATTTTCCTTTGGAAAGTAATATTGACAGAAACAAGTCAGGCTATTGAATTCTTCCCCTTCTGAGTGTAAGCAGCCATATATTTGAAATCTGTTCTAGATATATCTGCAGATGCTGTACAATGAATATAAATTGGAATAAATTTTTTATGTACCTGCAAAAAACCTGAACATTTTCTACTAAAATGAAAACTTCAAGCAACAGTAAGAGATTGCAATGACAGATCAAGAGAATTTTGCATTAAATCTTTTTTTTCTGTGTGATCTATGGAAAAAAGGACACATTTATGCTTCAGAAGTGGAATTAAAGCTGCTGCTTGCAGTGAACCAGTATTGAATACTAGATTCCTGATTGCTGATACCAGAGGACCTAATTTTATGTTCAGGGTGCATTTATCACACAGTATGAGACAGTTCTAACTCTATGGAAGATGGCTGTGGCATCTGACACCACGTTGTGTATATAATTCACCTGCCAGCTCCCTGAAATTTCAGAAAAGGGCACTGGAAAAAAGAACTTCCCTCTCTTCAAAACACTTCAAATATACTATCTTATGCACCTTACCCACCTGCAGGAGACAAGTTCCTATCTGACACTGAGGAAAAAACAGTAATTCCAGAACATAGTATTTAAATAACCTAATTTAGAAACGGTACAGCAGAAATATACTGCATGTGATTGGCAGTCATTGTGCAGTCAGTAAAAATCAGAGAAACAAAGATGTTATAGAATATTATTTTTTCAAACTGCAAATTAATGTAGATCTCTTAATAATTGTATGCAGTTAGTATACTGTTACGGCTCTTTTCTTTGTGCTGTTCTTCAGAATGCAACTTGATTGAAGGAGAAGATCATGTGGAAGTGAATGGAGAAATTTTCCAGAAGCCCTTCGTAGAAAAGCCAGTTAGTGCTGAGGACCACAATGTTTACATTTATTATCCAACATCTGCTGGGGGTGGAAGCCAGAGGCTTTTTCGAAAGGTGAAGTTATGGTACTGAAACTTTAAGTGTCTAACAGGATTGCAGAGTAATTCTGTCATGTCCTGCTTGCTTAGGAATAGAGGCAAATCAGAGAAATTTTAGGAGAACATATAGATTGAATGAAGGCATATGTTTCTTGCAGTAGATGGTTAACTACTGCAGATTCTTAGCGCACACCATTAATGTACTTCTAGAATCTTATAAAAGTCTTTTGGCATTGGTCAAAAGTTTGCTTCATTTGGTATGTGAAGTGTTTTCTTAGTACAAGTGTGTTATTTTAGGTGGTTTCAAAGTTTCTCGAGCGGTATTCTTTAAATTTTTAATGGAAAAATGCACCTTTCAGATTGGCAGCAGAAGCAGTGTTTATTCTCCTGAAAGCAGTGTGAGGAAAACAGGCTCCTATATTTATGAGGAATTCATGCCTACAGATGGAACTGATGTGAAGGTATGACAACTGTGCATTCTTATTTATGTTTAGAACAATCAAGTGCTCAAAGAGCTTCTCAGTTTTAAATCTTGGTCAAGGATTAATTTTAATTGAGTTTTACTACAGTTCATAAGTAAAAAATGCAATTCTGATTCTAGCTAAACATGGTATTTGTAATGTAGAGTAGCTATAGTTTGCATTGTTAGAATCAAGTGCTGGAGGCTTGCTACCTGACATATTGTCATCTTAAAGCTGGGCAAATCCTTGCTTTGTTTCATCCTATCTAAAATGTAAACATACTTTTAAAATTAAGATAATAACTTAGTCCTGCAGCCAGATTTCTGAAAATAAACTGAAATCATTTTCAAATGAACCTGTTCTCCAGGTTCTGCAGATGTTTTGGAGAAGAAACCATTTACATCTTTGTACCATCATAACGAAGACATTAATTTTTATTAATTGAGTTTTTATAATTACTCTTTTGCTTGTTTTTTCCCAGGCTGTCAGTAAATGATGTGTGTTCTCTGAAGGCAGAGAATGCCACTGAGGAAGATACTTTAGTGTGACCTTTTCAATGATGGAAGCAGCTAGTATCTTTTGATGTTGTTGTCATGTTTGAGTTATATGCATACATTTTGCAAATTTATGCAACATCATTTAAATACACTGGATCAAGAGCTCCTGTTTTTCAATACAGGTGTACACAGTAGGTCCAGACTATGCTCATGCTGAGGCCCGGAAGTCTCCAGCTCTGGATGGCAAAGTAGAACGAGATAGCGAAGGAAAAGAAGTGAGATACCCAGTCATCCTGAATGCAAGGGAGAAGTTAATTGCTTGGAAAGTATGCCTTGCCTTTAAGGTAAGCTGTTTGCTTTCCTATCTGATCAAACATTTAGTGTTAATTAATTGGTTGTTACATGAAACTTCCATAGGGGTTTAGTGCATGAGCCAGCAGTGGTAATCAGTGCAGAACTCCTAGGAAGGTGGAAACTTAAACTTCCATATGATATCTTCTTTTAATCAAGAGGGATTTTTCATTTAATGTATTGAAAAGTTCTGGATAAGTTGCTCTTGTTGTATTAGTTCCCTGAATTTGCATGTTGCTATTGTGCTTTGCTAGCCCAAAGTGTTTGTGTATAATATTTTTACATGTTTTGATACTAGTTTCTAAGTTAGCAAAATGCACTTTCAATAAAGTTTTTGTAACTTCTGTTGCATAGTATTTTCATCAGGTACAGATTCATTGTTAATTTGGTACTTACATGATTAAGTACTTACTTGAATAAATTGGTATTAATTTGATAGTTTTGATTTTTATATGACTTTAAGATTGCTGTACAGTTACAAGGATTCTTTTGTTCAAAACATCATTTAGTCTCTTACTCTCTTTTCACCTGTTTTATAAGAAGGCTTTCAGTCTATCTCCTTTACCTGAATGTGACTGTGATGGCATTCTCTAGGGTGTGGGCCTCTATCAGCGAAGTGGGCTTTGAGATCTTGAAAAGTAATCTGCTGAAAAAGCTTCTAGTATTCTCTACTAATGATGCCAATAGTATGTTAATGTCAAAACTGTCTTGTAAAATTTTAGCAAAAATGGTTTTTCAATTTTTTTTGTAATTTCTTGCCTGCCATCCTTAAAAACCTTATGTAGTGGGAAACCACTGTCAGAAAGGGGGACTTGTGGCCCCATGGTTGCCGTGAGTCTGAAAGTTTGTGCTCTTGTGAACTTGGCCTTCAATACTAATACTACTAGGAATATGCAGGAAGGATAAAATCAAGTTGGAGATAAAAAGTTAAAAACAGGAAGATGTTTGCACTGTGTGGGTGAACCTAACATGGAACTCACATAAGGTGTTAAGCGTAAAGTGTGGTCGTGTTTTGGTCGTGTTTTCAGATGAATACCTGGTTAAAATATAAAATTTGTTTAGAATAAGCAATTCTAAATCACTTGAACTTTTATTCTTTAAAACAGCAAACAGTTTGTGGCTTTGATTTGCTACGTGCTAATGGACAGTCCTATGTCTGTGATGTGAATGGCTTCAGTTTTGTGAAAAACTCCATGAAATACTATGATGATTGTGCTAAAATACTGGGGTAAGAGTTTCCTGATTTATTTCAGATTTGCTTATTAACTTCCTTGCATATTATTGTAGTTTATATACTGCCAAATTTCTTATTATTATTGTTTACTTATTACTATGAATTATTTCTTATTACTATTAATATTATTTCTTATTACTATTAATTATGAATTATTTATTTAAAATGAAATATCACATTAAAAGTCATTAATTTTAACAGTTAAAAAATCCTTTAAAAGAATCCTAAGTCAATAAAAAATACTAACTAAATTCCTCATTCCTAAAATTATTCCAAACATCTGAGTTTTTAAAAATGCTTACAGGTAACTGAATAAGTATTTTGAAATCAAGATTAAGTTCTTAAAGGTAGCTGAGATATTTTCAAGTAGTGAAGTGCTGCTGGATGGTTGTGACTGCTGCAGTTAAATGTGTCCAAATTGCTGTACGTTGTCCTTAATCTGAAGCTGGTGTATACTTTTATGTTCGTGGATTTCATCCTTGTTAAACCAAACTGAAAAAGAATCATGGCGTCTTCTATCATACCATCTTGTCTCTGCCACTGGAAGCAAAGAAAAGTATAATGAGGGATCATATAGAATTGGGTCTAGAACTCTATGCCAAGGAAATGTTGTCTTCACAGTAGGCTAAGCACCTTGTGACTGGCTTTTCAGTAAGATTGCACTGATGAGATATGGCATAAATTTTGCATGATCTAATAGTCTGGAATTTTTTTATGTTAAGGAATTTGCAAGTTTTTTCAAGGTTTTTAGCAATTACATTAGCTTATTCTACTTTTAGATGGACCTTTTTTCCCATCTGTGTTATTGGTTCTTACGTAGCTATTAGTCTGAAGGTCAGTGTAGTTTGATGAAACCTTTGTGCAACAGAACATTATATGTACCATCCTTCTTGAGGTGGAGACTGCATTGTTATTTTATAGTTATAATGAGAGACTATACCTAGTCTCCAGTTTTTCCAGTTTTATCACTGGAACTACTGGTAGAAAATAGCAGTTAATAGTGGTTTTGTGATTATTAGGCACTTTTAGTTAGGCAGCAAAGCCAATTGTCAGCATATATAAATAGACAAGAGTAATTCCTATCCACGGAACTCTTTTAAGAACTGGAGTTGAAAAGCTGAAGTTTTTTACAAATACAGAGCCAGTAGTCTAACGCTCCTGTAGCAGTTGTAATAGCTGTAAATTATTAAGTGGTCTTTATTATGCAATTAAAAGAATATATGTGTAGTTATTCATTCATGGCTGCTAGTATTCTAAAACTACATTAATAAAAATGTATATATGTAATCTGTTTAGAGTTTGCATGCATTGTATAATCTGTGCTTTAAACTTACTTGATTTGGTTTTTTATTTTTAACTCCTATTTTAGAAACATCATAATGAGAGAACTTGCTCCCCAATTTCAAATACCATGGTCAATTCCTTTGGAAGCTGAAGACATTCCTATTGTGCCAACCACCTCTGGAACAATGTAAGAAAATAATAGCTACGCCTAAATTGTGGAAACTCCCTATGTAACTTTTGTGTGAATCTTTTTTTCTCTTTGCAAGGTGTGCCCACATTGGTCTGTGAATGCTTGTTTTGTGTGCTGAAAACAAGGAAGGAATCACAATTGCTATATCAGCAGTCAGAGTTTCTCACCCTTAGTCAAGCTGAGTATAGAACAGCAGATTTTATAGTTTAGTGTCTGTTATACATAGCTTCCACTGCTAATCATTGTTCCAACACCGACTTAATATGCTTCTAATAAACATGCTCTCTCATTTAATGATCCTCAAAATTTTTGTTTTAAAAACTACTTCAAATAGATATTCTATAGTTACTAAAGTCTTAAAATCAGTTTTTATATTTTATACCTTACATCATTTTCAGTTAACCTTATATTTTTGCATATACTTCCATCACTTCTGTAGTTAATGTCAAATGACTACAACTTTGTCAATTGTCTTGATTGTAGTTGGTTTAATATTAAATAAAAGACCCTTGTGTACAGACCTGTGAAATACAACCCTTGAAATTTCAGGATGGAGCTTAGATGTGTTATAGCTGTAATACGCCATGGGGATCGAACACCAAAGCAAAAAATGAAAATGGAAGTAAAACATCAGAGGTAAATAGAATCCTCCTAAAAATTATTTCCCATATTTTAGAGTATAGGATTTTGGGGCTAAGCAAGCAGTGAATTAACCAGGAATTGCACAATTGCAAGTTGCTTTTTGTTTTTGTTATCCTCTAAATCTAACAGTTTTAGATGCTGCAGATAATTGCAGGTGTGCACCTCTCTTTCTGACAGGACTGTCAACTTACTTGTGCAGATTTCCTTCAATACATGCTGTGCCTTGTTTGTGTCCTGTTTGATTTTATGGAAAATGCATTTGTGTCTATAGATGTCTTTATTAAAAATAATGCAGCAGAGAATATTTCTAGTTCTCCATTAGACCATGGTTTCTGCCTTCTGCATATTGTAACTATTGTTGTATGCAATGTCATATTACTTTTTCTAGTAATTTTTGGCAAAATTTAAGGACTCTAAATTTCTGGTAGATACCATCTTTAATGTGGCATTCATAAGACAACTTACATAATTGACCTGGAACTAAGTGGAGTTTCAGTAAAAAAGGAATTATTTATTTTGGGACTAGATTCTTGCATTCAGAACATGCTGAAGAAGAGTAGGAATGCTCATTTGCTGGTTTTGGTCCCTACTTCTGTTCAGGATCATTCTTGAAGGGTAGGAATTGATATAGTTGCATATTCAAATAATATATCATTCAAATATATAGAGTATAATATATATATATTTTTTTTTTAATACTTAGCAAGTCAATGAGAGACTAAGTCACTTTCGGTGCTCTTGTTTCCCTAATGCATTGAAAACTTTCTGGGGATATGGGATTTGAATAAAACTTGGTTAGATCTCTGTACTGCAGGTTTTAGCCTAACTTTCAAATACTGTAAAGGTAATAATTTTAGATCACTTTAAGAGCCTCTTGTTCAAGTAGTAGCAATTTAATTTATTAATGGAAATTTTAAGTTATTTTTCTTTATCTTGAAGATTTTTTGATCTCTTTGAAAAATGTGATGGATACAAATCTGGAAAACTGAAACTGAAAAAACCAAAACAGTTGCAGGCAAGTTTCTTTATTTTTTTTACTGTAATATTTTGTAAGTAGAAATCTGTTTATTTAATTAAATCTCATGTTTCCTTCCTTTAGGAAGTACTTGATATAGCAAGGCAGCTCCTTGTAGAACTTGGGCAAAACAATGATTCTGAAATTGAAGAAAGTAAAGCAAAACTTGAACAGCTAAAGACTGTGTTAGAAATGTAAGTATCTCATTTTCAGGCTTCATAGCAATGAAGTTATATCTGCTGTTTTGACTTGTTCCACCAGTTGCTGTGTGGATTGCAGTGTTATCAAATACATAATAATATAATAATTCAACCACAGTGTTTTTGAAGAGAAGGGATGTCATGTTTTTCAAACATGTTTTTTCATCACTCTGGTTTTTTTCTTCTTGACTTTTTCATTTACCTTATTGCTGTATCTAGCATTTCAGTATACGTTCAAAAAGAGAAGTTTACTTTTGTTGGTGTCAAATTTTGTCTTGCATGTTTCTAAACTGAAAATACTTGTAAGCAGGGTCTGCTTCTCGTAGTGTGACATAATGACATCTGATAAAGCCAGTAAGAACTATCACCATGCTTACTTGTCTATTTACAGCAAACTCTGAGGATTGAAGATAAATAAGTCTTTGTACACTAAGCCTGAAATACTTAGTAACAAAAAAAAAACCTTTGAAAACCCAACAAAACAAAGAAAACAACAGAAATTAAAGGATTCAAGGTTTATTAAAGATGTTTATTAAAGGCTTCAAGGTTTATTATCTGGCATCTTAGGCTGTGAAATGATAATAGGAATTTTTAATTTAAAAAATATCAGGGAACAGACAATAATTATTGAAATTTATAATAACTGTTTTAAATACTGAATTTTGCTTGAGAACTTAACGGGGCTATAAAACCAGTAGCCATCTACACTGTGAGACGAGTTTCTGGATACTGATAGCCACTGTAGTTTTGGATCTGAATAGATAAATTACTTGTGCCATGTCCAATACTGCTTATTGTTGGCGGGGAGGGGAGGGGAGGGGGGGTTCCAGTTTTATGCTCAGTGTTGTAAAAGGTAGAATTAAATAATATTTTAAGATGTTTCATTATAGCATAGTAGTTATTTCTGCTAATTCTGTACGTGTTGAATTAATGTTTATTCTAAGGACAGCTTCAATAAATGTTGGTCAAATACACAAATCATTGACCAACAGAGAATTATTATATCCTCTTATAGATTTTAGCAGTTTTGGAGTAAGATAATTAAAATGTTTCTCCCCCTTTTCCCTTCTCATTTTTCGCTGTTCCTGCTTAAGGTATGGGCATTTTTCAGGCATAAATCGCAAAGTTCAGTTAACATATCTTCCTCATGGCTGCCCTAAGACTTCCAGTGAAGAGGAAGGTATTGTATTACTTTTGTACCTAACTTTTGTACCTAATATTATGTGTATATAAATAGTCATGGGCTACTCGTATAACATGTCTTGATGTTAAAGAGAGGGAATATTCTGTTTTGAAAGAATGTATAGTTAGCAGATATTCACAGTATTTTAATCTGCTGAATTGTGCACCTAAAACTCTGTAGTAAACTTCTCTTCTAACCCTGCTCTTGTGCAACAGAAGAATAACATGAAAAGAAACTTCAGTGATTCACTAAAATGATTTTTGAGCCAGTATAAGAAAATCTCACTCAACAATTATTATCTTTAAAACATTTACAAATTGTAGGGTATTTAGCATCCAATTTGTTTTAATTTTTCTATCTTGATTTACTTTTTGCTTCAGATTCATGATAAATATTTTTCATATATATTCTCTTTATAGTTTTATTATTTCAGTTTACTCTGTTTCGAGTGCCCATTTAGTTCACCAGGTCAATCTGTCCTTAATGTTAGAATACTATTAAAGATTCATAATGTTGAAGAGGTTCTTTGATGAATCTTCTTATAGACCAAATACTTTTTATTCATTTAGGAAAAAAAATAATATAATTAAGTACTAAGTTTTCTCCCTGTGTAAAATTAGATAATAGAAGAAATGAGCCATCCCTGCTTCTGGTTCTAAAATGGGGAGGAGAGTTGACCCCTGCAGGCAGGGTTCAAGCAGAGGAACTTGGAAGAGCTTTCAGATGTATGTATCCAGGCGGACAAGGTAAAAAGAAAATTATAACAATTTTCAAAAAAAATCAATTGAGTGTCGTAAATTACTTTTGAAGATAATCAAGTGCAAGATGAGAGTTTGAGCAAAATGTTTATTTGGTAGGAGATTATGCTGGATTTCCTGGATGTGGATTACTTAGATTACATAGCACTTACCGACATGATCTCAAAATCTATGCTTCTGATGAGGGACGAGTTCAGATGACTGCAGCAGCTTTTGCAAAGGTACAATGTGAAGTGGTATTTTCATTTCTAAAATTATGATATTCTCAGATTTGTGTTTTCTTTTGAAGTGTGGAAGAGATTTACAGTTTATTAGAGAAAGGTATTTTCAAAGAGTGTGAAAAAGTTTCAAATAATGTGCCAAACATTTTAAGTTCTTTGAGCAGATGAAGACAGTTTTTAATTAAACAGCCCTGTCTGAGGCACTTTTGTCCTCTTCTCCATAAGATTCTGTGAACAAGCTGCTCTCACAAGTGAACTGTCTGCTTACTTGAAATCCTGGGCTCTAATGCAAATGTTTGTCTTTACTTCTCCATGGATCTGTTATAACATCAGATTTCAACTACCCAGACTGCCATCTACCTTTACTTTCCTGACACTTTACTTTCCTGACACTGTGAGTAACAGGTCCAGGGCAATGCCTGTGCTCAATAGCTCATCAGTGATCTCCGTGAAGGAATTGTCCTAGGTGTTTTCTAGAAATCTTGCTTTCTTGTCCCCTGCAATATTGCCATAGAGGTACGATGGCTGAGAGTATTCATGGAAAAAAGGCCTGCAATTAGGTGGCTTTCTCCACTTGTGTTAAGAAGGTTTCATCCATTTCCCCTTTTAAATTGGGGGATCTGTAATAGAGCCCTAGCATGATACTGTGATGTCTACCTGGCTTCCAAAAGGTCCTAGAGTTACGGCAAAAGTCCATTCATGTGACCTATTCTACAATATCTCTCTAATGTGAATTAAGTTAAAGCTCTACAAGTCTACAGACTTCCTCTTTCTTCTGTTTGTTTCTATGCTGCATGTGTTTGTACAGAAGTATTTCAACCATCTGACCTGCTTTCCCTTGGTCAGCAGGCTTGAAGAGACACCACACCATTTTCCTTCTTTATTCCAAAACCCTTCCATTGCCAGAAAAGTCACAAAAGTTTCCAGCCTTCTTCATTTTGGAATTCTCCATTCACCTCTTGTTCAAGGCCTTTGATTGTCCTGTGACTCACATGGCTTGGGGTTTTGCCTCTGTAGAGTCTCTCTGTAAGACCCTACCTATCTGCTGTTTATCCTTCCAGATGCTATTTGGTTTGCAAACCCTTCCATAGCTCCTCTGTGGTAACATAAGTCCTTGAACAAAGCATGTCACCAACAAGTCAGGCAGCTCTTGTTTCCAGCCTCATGGAGAGGGCACTTGCACTCCCTACAATCCAAGACCCTGACAGCTGGTGTTGAGGAACGTTGTCTGTAGCATGTCACCATCACTGTTGCACCATCTGTATCAATCGTGCAGACTAGCAGTATATAGGGACCCATTTCTCTGTAAGTGTAGGCATTGTGCCCTTGTTTATCTAACCTGTAGCCAAGTGATACCATCTTGAATTTAAATTTGTTTTGAGCATTCTTTTATAGATACTAATTTTTTCATCTTCATCTATTTGCCTGAATAATGGTATTGTTTGCTTCAGGGACTACTGGCCTTAGAGGGAGAGCTGACTCCTATTCTTGTCCAGATGGTTAAAAGTGCTAATATGAATGGTCTGTTGGACAGTGACAGTGATTCTTTAAGCAGCTGTCAACATCGTGTTAAAGCAAGACTCCATGAAATTCTCCAGAGAGACAGAGAATTTACTGCTGATGACTATGATAAGGTTAGCATATTATTAGTTTCCCATTAAATAAAATAGCTAACTATGAAAATTCCTGTGCAAAAGTATTAGGCAGTGATTTTATGTATCTGTTTTGCAAAATTATTTGTATGCTTGCAAATAGTTTGAAGTGCAGAGGTAGCTGTACTAATTGTGGCTGTAGATATTTCATCCTGCAATTTTGGTAATCAGAATAGCTACAAACTTTGAAGTAAAAGAGAACAGGGATCTTGCTTGTAAACCTTTTTCACTGTTCCATTAAAATACTTTAATTATTGAAGGAATGACATTATATTGTTTGTGGTTTTTTGTAATCTTTACTTTGACAGTGTGTGGTGTAACACTGCTGCAGTTGTGTCAATCATTGATCCACTGCAAGGTTTTTTTTTGTAACTTAGAATACTGAGATACTGAAAACCAGTAGAATACTTTCAGTGAAATGAAATATCTCATTAAAATGCTAAATTAGTATGTAGTAATATAGTTTATGTTGACTTTGTGCAGACCATGTCATTGTTTCTGGTTTTAAATGTATTGTTTGTTATAGTTAAGAACTTCTTTATCTTTCAATTGCTCGTCTCTATACTCTGTCTCATATAACAACTAAATACATGTCCTCAAATGAGGTTTAAGTTTAAACTGCTATTTTTGAAAAAGTACAGAGAGCAAATTAATTGAGAATAATATACCCTGCATGTATATACCCTGTGGATTCATTTAAATACATAAAGTATCGTGCAAACCACTCCTAGCAGTGGATTCAACAGTAATTGGAAAATGCAAGGATTTATTAATGTCTGTTACACAGATATAAGGTTTAAAATTGGCTAGAACTAATAGAGTGCCTCTTCAGTCGCTGAGTTACTAACCTTGGGGATTGTAAGGCAATAAAAACTCCACTTATTTGTGGAGGTTTTATAACTTACTTGTGATTTGGGAAAATTGTATGGGGTTTATTCCTGTGCCTTCCTCCCTATTATGTAGAAGTAATCAATTTTTTTATTTACTTCATAATAGGGAGATAGGAACTGCTTAGTGTTAGGTAGAGAGCAGAAGTTTTCCACATCCAAATTACTCTATCCATTTCAGGAAATTGAGGAAAGTTCAAGTAAGTGTGTGTTTTGTGTATAAATTACTGTTTCATATCATTGGTCACTTTGAATTCTTCAGACTTTTCTGAAAACATGAGGCTAAGCCTTACATGTGCATTGATTGTACTGTTTTAGTGACACTCACCTCATTGGTGATGGTTTGTAGCTTTTACCATTTCTATAATTTATTCAGTTCAGTTCTATGTTGTTGCTATATGTGCATTTAAAGGCTTTCTTTTTATGTTTGTGTCCTGCAGTCCTGTAGAAACAAAAACCTATGACAGGAACAGCCAAACTTTTTTTAAGCTACCAGTTACTATTGAGAATATGGTTCCTATAGAGCAAAAAAATATTTTGTGAGGCGTGTAGCTTAATGACAACATTTCTAACAGAATTTACTTTCGTAAGCTTTTGAATACAGAAGTTACTTGAAGATATGGAAGCTTGCTAAGTATATATGAAGTTTGAAACATCTTTCCAATTTTCCTGTCTTGGAATAAAAGAAATGGTTTTACAAATTCTTGTAGTTACTCACATTTACTGTATAGAATTAGTTGCTCTATGAATTTCTTATTACCTTTGAATCTCTAGTAAATGGTACCATGTTTTGGTGAATCATCTTAATGCCTCAAAGGTAATAGATAGTTGATAAATTATTAAAAATGTTCATAGCAACCTGCTTGAGTTCTTTTTCTCCAGTACTTGTTATCTTTGACATGTTTCATCTTATCTCACCAGGTCTTTCAAATCTAGTCTGTTCATTTAATTTTGTGTTTATCTCAAATTGCAGCTCACTCCATCTGGAAGCCTCTCACTGATAAAATCAATGCAGGTTATTAAAAATCCTGTAAAGACATGTGACAAGGTCTATTATTTGATACAGAGTTTGACTTCTCAGATCAGGCAGAGAATGGAAGACCCAAAGTCTGCAGGTACTGAAACGTTTTTGTGCTTGTATTTAGTTTCTCTAGTTAACATACATGAAAGAGAATTGTAATGTAACTTCTACACTAAACTCACTTTTAGCAGAACATCAGTCAACCAATGATTAAGTGTTTTCACTGTCTGATTTCATATGCATAGTTTTGAAATAAAAAGCATGAGGAACATGTGGTTGTATTGCAGGTAAGGGCTCTTTGGTGTTCAGAAATTGCAATGTTTGCAGAAATTCTTGTCTTAGTTATTTGAAACTCAGCATTCCACAAAAGTAATAGGAAAAATTGATGGTACTGAAGCTAATTTATATAGGTACATCTTATATTTAAGGGCCAGTGGTGCATTTCTGCAGCAATGTGTTTTATTATCATAGTGGAGCTATGTAATTGTGATGCTTTCAGCACTAAAATGGATTTTATGCCCTGCTATCCCTTCTTCTTAATAGTAACTTATTTTGATCCCTCTGTGATTCAGTTGTTACTACTATGTTATTAAAATGTCCTTTCGTTACTTGAATGACCTTAATTACTTATAAAAGATATATGTCTGTCCAGATATTCAGCTGTACCACAGTGAAACTCTAGAACTGATGCTGCGCAGGTGGGCCAAGCTGGAAAAAGACTTCAAAACAAAAAATGGAAGATATGATATTAGCAAAATTCCTGATATTTATGACTGCATAAAATATGATGTACAACACAATGGATCCTTACAATTAGAAAACACAATGGAATTATACAGACTTTCAAAGGCTTTAGCTGACATTGTAATTCCTCAGGTAAGCATTTTCAGTTATTAAATAGAAAAACGTGTAGGATAAATGCATTATTAATTTTTTGTGAAAATGTCTACTTTGCATTTTCTTTTGACATTCCCACATTTTGCAATCATAGAAGCCTTTAACATTATCTCATATTTTTCAGTAGCAATCTGACTGGGATTTTTTGGAAAAATTTGATTCATAATTAATCTGTGTTCAGGGTGAATTTTTCTAGAAACTTAGGATGTGAACATGCCTCCTTCCTTACAGCAGTGTATTAAAATAAAAGGGTTCATTTTCACCATTCATCATAGATTTAACAGTTGCCTTTGTGAATAACTGTGTTTTCTTAAATTGCTTTTAATTTCATTTCTCCGACTTATAAAAATTTCATTTTTGGGCTCTTTCCAAATGACAGTGTTAATCCTAATCTATGCAATTTAACTAATTTCAAACAATTTTAATTTAAAAAGATTATTCTGCTTTTTCAGAATTGTAAGATTCCATGATGTGAATGTACACATTAAATTTCACAGACTTTCAGGCCAGAAATAGACAAGTTAAACTTACATGCTCTGTAAGCTATTAAACTTTGTTTAGCTCTAAAATCTTGGAGGTGCCAGGTCATGAAGTTGATTTGTGATAACAGGACAGAACAGACTAAAGCTCTCCCCAAGTGTCCCTGCAGTTACAGAACAGTGTTGTAACAGAGGTGCTTACCCATATTGTATGCAGCATTTGAAGGAAGTTCTTCCTCCCCCATCTCTCAAACTCCTTGACATGAAAGACAAAAACAGTAGTGATGCTTAGAATGCATTGTTGTGTGTGAGTCTATTAAGCTGAAATTTTGAATAGAAAATTAGAGAAGAGCAGGTAAAAATGAGGGCACATACTGAAGGAAGAAAAACAAAGAAAACTTTATAGCCTACATAATGCAAAGGAAGAGTGCTTGTGTTACTCTCTAGGGTAACAAGAAGATCCATTCTAACGTTCATACCATGGGCAGCAGAGAGTATGAAGCTCCTAGAAGAACATACTTTTAAAGATTGATGATATTACAATATTTAATATCACCAGTAATTTCTCAGTTGTACATAAATGCCATTTGTGTTATTATTTGACATAAATGGAAGTCTCTGGGGTGGCTTATTCCAAACTAAGGTAGACATACCAAAAACATCTCTTTATTGACTGTTAAAAGAAAGGGGAAAAAAAAAGACATGAAAAAACGCAATATTTTGGGGGCAGGATAGGAGATGGAGATGGTGAGAAGAAGGCAGAATGATTCCATATATATTATGGTTAAGAAGAAGGGCTTTATCATACCAGAAGGTAAATCCACTTCTTTGGTTTTAACTAATGAAGGAAAACTTTTTGTCTATATCAAGTCAAACAGCAAAAAGGCAAGCTGCTTGTTAGTTGAAGCTACATCACTAGTCATAAGTAGTAAAAATGTTTAAAAAATGGTTTGTAGCCAGAGCAAACTAATAGATGACTAATTTGCTTTAATATAGAAGCTTTGAATTAGAAGGCATATTAAGCTTTAACTGAATTTTAAAAGTCAGTTTGTTTTTACACAGGAATATGGTATTTCTAAAGCTGAGAAACTGGAGATTGCCAAAGGTTACTGCACTCCTCTAGTCAGGAAAATCCGTTCTGACCTTCAGAGAACTCAAGATGATGACACTGTAAATAAGCTTCACCCTCTGTAAGCGAGTTACTTCTTTACATGGTTACATTAATTACCATAAAAATTAGAGCTATTCTGTAGGTTTCAAATTTGAAGAATCCTCTTAGCTCATAGAAATTATAAAATATAATTATTTTTTTTATTAACAGCTATTTTAAAAATAAGGACACATCTTATCATAGTCTAATAACATTTTTCTTTTTTTTAAGCTACTCCAGGGGTGTGATGTCCCCAGAACGGCATGTTCGTACCCGGCTGTATTTCACCAGTGAGAGTCACGTCCACTCTCTGTTATCCACCCTTCGTTATGGTGCCTTATGTGATGTAAGTTTCTCTGTTGAAGCCCTGATATATTGAGAGGAACCTGAATATTCCTTTGACAGTATCAATTGAAATTTTAAGTGTCTTTGAAATTTATCACATTTTTTCAAACACTTTTTTTTCTATTACTTATGCAGAAACATAGTGCAAATTTCACATTAATTAGCATGTTAATTTCCATCAAAGTAATGCTGTGTTCTGTTGGCTGTAGGTGTTAGAATCAAAATAGATGTGGAAAGGCCAGATACTTCTTTTTTGTCTTCTGTTGTCACCAATAATTCTTTCAACTTTTATTCTCAAGTTATGATTCAGGGTTCTCTTGAATTTACTTTTGCACTGGCTTCCTGTTTTTGTCCATTGACATATTGTCAGAACATCCCTACCTAATTTCAAGACTGCTCATAGAGTACAAAATTTCTCCTGTACAGTGAATTTTCTTACTTTTCTGTACTGTTATAGAATACTACAAAGGTGGTGCATTATCTCCATCTGATAGTCTTTGACACTGAAAAAGACCAGGTTTTCAGATTCAGAAATTACTTAAACTAAGCTCTTGGAGTAGATATATACAGCACTACATCTGCTTGTAAGATACTTTTTGACTTAGACACTGGTTTTCAAATTTTCTATTGCTTCTGGTAATGGATGACTAAACTCAGTGATGGCAAAAGCATTTATAAATCTCTGTGACATGCTACAACAGGTGCACTCCAAGTTTAAGTCTGATAAACTCTTATCTTTAAGGTGGGTTACTAAATGGTTTCATTGCTACAGCATGAAAAAGGTGACTGTTCATTTACATAGGTTGGGATGTGACGGTTGCACCTCTTCTATATACTAGAAAACTTCGTTTACTTTGTTTGGCTGATATCTCTGTTAGTGTAATATCTAAAAACATTTTTCACAATATACTAGCTGAAATGAATTTAATGCAGTATTAGCAGTTCTCATCAGGAGAATTGAAAACAGTGGCTCTGTCTACATATCATAATTGGTAAAAAAACATGAAAGACACACTGAAATAACATGAAAAGTTTGCTCTTCACTTTTCAGTCATTGGATCAGCAATTTTACATCACTCATGGAGGTTCATAATTAGTTTTTTTCATTGTACCTCTGCATTTTCCTTAACTATAATGAGCTTTGCACTTCTGCTATGAAAATCTGTGTAAATAGAGGAAAAGTGAAATCATCCGTCTTTTTAAAGAAAATAGCTGACTTTTACTTGTTGATTTTTTTTTCCTCAATAAGGAATCAAAAGATGAACAGTGGAAACGAGCTATGGATTACTTAAATGTGGTCAATGAACTCAATTACATGACACAGATTGTCATCATGCTTTATGAGGATCCAAACAAGGTATTTTAAAATGGATAAATATCTTCAGAAATTAGTAGTGCTGATCTATTTATTAAAGTATTAAACCTATTATTTTACTTCAGGAACTTTCTTCGGAAGAACGTTTTCATGTAGAGCTGCATTTCAGTCCAGGAGCAAAAGGCTGTGAGGAAGATAAAAATTTACCATCTGGATATGGATACAGACCTGCCTCCAGAGAGGTAATAATTATGCCTTTCTATAAAGCAAAACTTAGGGTTTTTTGGATATGGACATACCTAAAATAAACACTTTAAAATTGTTATGTAAAAAAAACAAGTGTGGGTTTTTCTTTTGGTAGAAAAACATGCAGTAAAAGATAAGTAGTCCCAATGTTTTCTATTTTGAATGGATACTCAGGTGAAGGACACAGACAATTTGAATGTTCTAAAGTTTTGACAGAATTTTTACTATAAATACAAAATACTCTAAGTGATATCAACATCAGAGTGTCACATGAATAATACTCTGGGAACCGGAAGATATATTTAAGAAAGTAGTTTGGCATGTTTATGAATACATATTGTTGAGGAAGGATTGATATTTTCCAAGATATATGGTCAGGTAAGTGGAGTTAGGACTGCATTTTGAGAAAGGAATGTGAGCAAAGCAAAATACGTGATTTACATACTGTATTTTTAAAATCAGCTTGTTTTATCTTTATGTGGAATATTAATTTAAGGGCCACTTCTGTCTACATGTTTGAAGGTGTGCAGAGAAATTAAGAATGAATTATGTATTTTCTGTAGAATGAAGGCTCAAAGAAAACATCTCATAGAAATGATAGTGATGAGGAGGTACATGCTCCTAAACGAGATGAAACGGATCGATCAGTAGTGATGTTCAAGCCAATGGTATCAGACCCAATTCACATACACAGAAAGTCACCCCTTCCAAGATCCAGGAAGATTGGTTCTGTTGAAGTAAGTGTTTCTGTTCCAGATAATTTCTCCCAAAGATATTAACTTTTGCTTGCTTTTAAGAAAACGAAATCAAATGTAATTCTGCTTTTGATTATACAGAACCAGCATGATACATCTCACAGAAGGTTTGCCCTTACTCAGTGGGAAATCCTCCATGGCAGTAATTTCTCTGAAGGGATGCTTTTTTTTAATTATTACTATTCTGTGATAAGACTTACTTCCTTCTTTTAAAGCTGTTGTAGAAAAGTTGATATTTGAAAATGAAGACTCAGTCTAAACCTACATCTACAAACTAGTATATGTTGCTTTTCTATTCATCCTTACAAGAGAGCTGCTACTGGGAATTGAGCAAACATTTGGGGTGATTGTGCTGAAAGGCAGCAGAGGGATTAGGGTGGATGGGGAGGTACAGAACATGAGACATCTTCTGCTGTATTTGCTGTCATGTGGAGTGGAAGTGACTCCACTTGTCAAGCTTTTGAAGAAGGTAAGAAAGATAAAGTGGAAGCTTTCTTTTTAAGTGGCTGGCGTTTGTTCATGAATTCTGTAGGTAACATCTTGAACAATCTAGTTTGCTGTGTTGTAAGCCATGACATCTAGGTGTGCTTCACAGGTATGGCTTAATGTCACAGAGGTGAGGGGAATGCACAGCTGTATTACTGATACCATTGGGATGGTTGAGTGGAAATTCAGATGGTACATGGAAGCACTTCTGTGATATTAATGCTAGAAGCAGACTAACTGCATCTTATTGCCTCATTTTCAGTTGCTTAAAACCATCAGAAATGAAGATTCATACCAAAAGCTTTTTCTTTCATGTTTGTGTTGGGAAAGAGTTGTCTCTATGCAGTAAAAGTATTACAGATTGGGAAATCACTTTGTTATTGACAATGTGGAGAGAAAAAGTTGCATGATTCCCTTCTGTAAGGATATCTGTATAACTTCACATGACTTCCATAAATTAACAGACATAATAAATGTTAATGTCTTACATTTTCTATTTCCAAGTTTTTTCATAAACAAATGCTCACAACATCAATATTTTTGATTTTTAAAAGCTGTTTTTGCAATGATCATGCAAACTCCCCTCCTAGCTATGAGTTCACTTATGCGCAGCTTAAAAGTCTATTACTTCAGACTTTCAACCATTTTCATAAACTGTATGGAAGTTAACTTTCACAAGATATCAAAAGTACAAATTGCTAAATTTTGACTGTACAGATAATATATGTTAAAATGGGATGTGTTTCAGCATTCAGAGCTTGCTTATTTCTTGGAAGGAAATAGCCAATTTAGAGAAAACATATACTGTAGAACATGTTTTTCTTATAAGTAATATAGGAAGTTCCATCTGGCCTACTGAAATCTGCAAAACTAATATTTGGAATATTTAAACTAAACAGTATTTTGGAGCAATTTTAAAAAGTCACTGCAACTTAAACTGCAACTGCCTTGAACTTTTTTCTTTTTTTTTTTTTTTTCCTTTTTTTTCTTTTCCCCTGCCCCCTCTCCCCCACCTTTTTTTTTCCTCCTGTAAGGCAATTCTGTTTTCACCTATGTCCATTAATTTAAAAGGACACTGTCAGGTGTGAGATTATATGTAGATTTTAATCTGGGTTATAGTCAGCAATATTTACAGAAGGAATGCAACTGTGACTGAGTCATGAAAAGAAAAAAAGCTGAGTTATAGTGGTAAAACAAGAATGTAAAACTCATTGACATTGGGAAGCAAACTGTATTACAAACAATGTTATTGCTAATGATACATAATGATGTAGATATGGGGGGGTGCTTAGCCTGACACTCCCTTGAAGTCCTGATAAGGTGTCCAGCATCAGATAACTTTTAGGACATTTTAAAGTTTGGAAAACTACTACCAGTCAATTTGGTGCTACCATCAGTGAGTCAGCTCAAAGAAAGGTCTCAAAAGAAATTCTTAAATTTAAATTTAAACATTTAGATAAGCTTATAGACTAGAAATGGAAACTATTAAGTAATAAATAGGAAAGTTTAATGTACTTAGGAGGGGAAAAATTATTAAACAGTATGTCAAGGGTAACAGAAGTTCTCCTTCCAACATGTGAAAAATACTTAAAATTATGAATCAATTATCGATAACAAATGTTTTCTCTCATATCTAATATTAGTCTACTAGAAATTTGATTTTAGTGTTGTAGTAAAAGGTATAGTTATGAAGATATAAGAGTGAAACGGATAACTTTGTAATATAGGATTATTACTCTTCGCTCTTTGCTGTTTGGTAGTTTTAAAGGTAGTATGTAAAAGGGTGCAAGCAGATTGGGTTTTTTTTTCTTTTCTGTTCATTTGGCTCTGTTGAATCTAACTTTGCATGCTTTGCTGTTTTTTGCCCCCTTTCTCACTTCCAGGAAGAGAGCCCCCTGAGTGTGTCTAGCCCAGAGTGTATTGGTACCTGGCTGCATTACACCAGTGGTGTGGGTACTGGGCGTCGAAGACGCAGATCAGGGGAACAAATCACTTCTTCCCCTGTCTCCCCTAAATCACTGGCTTTCACATCCAGTATTTTTGGCTCATGGCAACAGGTTTTTAAACTTTACTTCATTAAACATTTTATGCATTCCAAGCAAAAACTGTCTTTAAGGACATCTAATCCCTTGTTATGGATTATGTTTCAAGCAATACCTTCCACTTTTTAAAATTACGTGCCAAGAATGTTTGGGGGGAAAAGACCAAGTGCATGTTTTTCAACTGAATGTGTTACACGCTGTCATAAACATTTGGTTTCTTTATAGGAATTGCAAATGTTACCACAGTAAAAAAGACTTAGTGTACTTCCCAATGAAAGAGAATTATGCTTTGGTTTAGTTGTCCTTTAAGACTTTAAAACCAGCACTGCTTAATTTGGTGGTAGGTAAATTTAAAAAAATAATAATTGCAACTGATTCCATTTAAAATAATTTATTTGGTACTTCATGTTGCTATTCAAGACTTGTTTTGCATATATCATATTTTCAGTGGCCTGGTATTAACTATTGCAGGGGAAAATCTCTAGCACTAATAATTCTTGCCATCTATATCTGAAGGTATCTGAAACTCCCAACACAGTACATCATCCATTGACTCAGACAATATTTTGAAGATTGCTCCTTGTAATGGGGGGTGAGGGAAAAGCAGGGAAAAAAAGAAACAGTAAATGTTTTGGAAATACCAGTGAAGATCTAAAGCTATTCAGAATGTCAAGATATTGTTTACATGTAGGACAATGGATGGTGTTCTGTAACTATATCCTATTAGTTTGAAGATTTTAATGATTTATTGTAGAAGATTCTAAAATGATATACATTGGAAAAGTTTATATCAGCAAAGGCTGTGAGCATCTGAAGATTATACTGATTGAGCCTGTGCATGGTCAGTGATCGTATGGTGTCCTCAATAGCTTGTCTGTCTTTCCTTCCCTCCCTCCTTTTTTCAATACAGGCGCAGTTTAGGAAAGTGCATTTGGTAAAATGAAATAAAATGTCTCAAATGTTTGTTCTCATATCAGTCTTGGTCTGTGTCCTTTCTCATTCTGAATGCTTGCTTTGCACCACTTCATTGCAAGGAACTCATATGTGAAATGAACTCCCTTCAGAAGGGGATATTGCATGATCTCTCATGTTTCCTTTACATATTTTTACTAACACTTATCATACAGCTTATTAACACCTGTCTGTCTGAAACAGGCTGCTGTATCAAGTTAATGGATGTTTCATGCTGCTGTTCTACTTGCCCTTATTTTTCTGTTTCTTACATCCAGGTCCTATCAGAAAGCAATAGTAACTTACGAACACCAAGAACTATTCTGGAACAAAAGCAGAGTGGTCTAGGTATGTTCCTACAGTTGAAATTTTGTTTGATGTTATCAGCTTTTCATCTGCCTGCTTTTCTCTGCAGTTGTATATTCTTTGAATAGCTTTTTTGTTAACAGGACCCAATAGTACTTGTTATTAATAACATACGCTGAGTGTCTGCCTATGGACTGGACAATTTTTTTTGCAACAAAATTTTAAAATAAGTTATAACTGAAAAGAACAAATTGTTTGACACCCTTCATACTACTGATTTCGTACTGCTCACAACAGGTACATAGGATTGGTTTTAACATAAAGCAGAATTTTAAGATAATGTAGTTTCTGATTGAGCTTTTGGATTTTGCAAGAATATTATGGATTAAAACAGCCTGCTCCGTAAACCATTAAAACACTTTTCTTTAAAATTTCTGTTTCCTATTGTGGGCAATTGATGAAAGTGAAGATACTTTTCTGAGGGGAGGGGCATGGGGAACAAACATAAAGTCTCTTGATAGTATCAGGGGTTTTAATTTATCCTCTCATAAAATTAAGTTCTTCTTTTCAGCGTTAGTATGAATCATGCTATAATTCAAAGGCTTCTTTAAAATTCTCTTAATTCAAGTGGTGCTTTTCTATTGCTTTATTAAAATAGGCATACATATGATTCACGTGCAAAAAAAATGAAATCATGCACTGCTGCAAATCAATAATGCTTTTTTTCTGTGTCTTTTCATGGAAAATAAGAAGTATAAATAACTGCATCACCTGGATGCATAAACTTAGAAGTAATTTTTCCTTTATTTGCAAAGATACGGGGTTTTCGTATGTCTAATCTTTCTGTGGCACTTTTCTTCCCATTATATTTTTCCCATAGCAAAATGCATACAATCAGGTGCTCTTGTTTACTGAAGTCCTGGATTTTATTATGTGCTTGCTAAAGTTAAATGAATATTCTTTTGTGTGACACAAGATGGCTTGTGGAAGTTGATGGATTTCCATGTAGATTAAGGTGTTATATTTGTTGTGAAAGGCTTTTGCCACAGACCAGGCACCAATGTATTTTGGCTGATTGCTCACATGTGCTAGTAATGTTTCCCCTCATTGGACTGTTATAAGTAATGAAAGGAAGTATTGCTGGTTTTCAAAACAAAAAATCTGTCATTACTTATCTAAAATGTAAAAGATCAGTTCTGAGTGAAAAATTGATTCTCCTTTCAACTAGTAGTGAAATATAAAGGAAAAACTTGCAACTTTTTTTCCCATTTTGTTCATTGTTGTATGTAAGTTTCATTAATGGTTGAGGATTACAAAAGTTATTTTTATATTTTTATCTGTGGCTGTCAGTGATTTGTTTAAATTCCCATTCTAGTGGCAGGAATGCATGATTTGTAACAAAGTACTGTCACTTGCATGGAGCTGTGCAAAAGTCTTCTTGGGAAAGGAAGTCTAGTTAAACTTGATGAAACTTTCAGTTTTTTTCAGTTTTTTCAGTTTGTAACATTGTTAATAATGGTAGCTGAAATATGAATAGAGTTTTTCCAATTTAAGATTTTGTTGGGGTTAGAATTATTTCCACATACTAAGTCTGTGGAACTGCATGAGTACTTCATAGCAGCCTGTCATCCGAAAGGTTGATTTGGATGAAAGAAATGAGCAGCATTTTTCCAGTTTATATTTGTTTCAGGAATACAGGTATTCAAATACACAACTTTCACATCATCGTCATCATCAGTCATTATCATCATCATCATCTTCATTTTGTTTTGTTGTTTTGTTTATGTTTACATTGATGCTAACTGGTAACTTTTTTTTACCAAAAGTGAAAACAGGACAAGAACTCATTTGTTAAAGCCAGTCCTCTCTTTGCACATATAACAGAGTGTGCTGTTTCATGAGTAGAAGCACAATAAATTATGATAGTTTCAGCCTACAAGTCCCACTCTGACATTACAAGCATATTGTGAACGTGTCCAAGGCACTGCCAAAAGCTGCCTTTTGTGTGGTAAGAGCCATGTGCTTGCATGCTGCATGCATCCCCAATGTGAATGGACGAACACCTGGTTGTTGTATGTATTTTCTCTAACTCCCATCAGGGTCTCACTGTGCGGGCCTGTTTAGCACCTCAGTGCTCGGGGGTTCTTCAAGTGCACCTAACCTACAGGATTATGCTCGTACGCATCGTAAAAAGCTGACTTCTTCTGGCTTCATAGATGGTATGTGCACACTCTAGCACATGCACGCACGACCCATGTGCCACATTGAACTTCTAAAGATTTTAATGGAATCCTAGAATCTTTGGCCTTAGTATTAATTTTATGAGTTGCTATTGCTTCTTTATTGCCCATAGCTTGCTTATGTTTAACTTAATAGCATAGTTAATTCTTGTTTGTCTTGAATTGAACACCAGAACATGGACTTGTAATGTGCGCCAGGAGATTCCAGCAAGTGCATTTTTTAAGTAAACTGAAAGTTTTGGTTTTAAATTCTTTAATAATTTTAAACTCTGTTTTTTATCACTGCTAATTGATCTTGAATTTAAATTATTTGGAGCATGTACAAGGAATGAAATTATAAACTAATAAGTTAAATACTGATGGTGAAAATTTTAGGATTCCTGACTTTCTTTTTCGTGGGGTTTGGATTACAAAGGAGCAGGAGATTCTCAGTTTTGGATAATCTGGCATAGAGAAGAAACCCACTCACTAGATTTCACAATGTAAAGATACCAAAGCACACCTTCATAACTCTGAGGTGAAACAGTATTCATGCTGTTTTCCCCCCCACTTCACTTCTCAGTATTCAACTCTAACCTGCATAACCTTGTATGCCAGAATCACGAGCTCATTCTGCTTGTTTTCATATACGTCATTACACATCTTGTAGTTACCAACAATCCAAATTTTCTTCTTTTTAACATCTACTTAGATTTTAGCCATTTTCCTTGGTCCCTTCTGCATGCCACTCACTTCTAATACCTTCTCATCTTTTCTTTTTTCCTTTCTTCTTCCTTTTCTATTTTAAAATCTCTCACTTTTGGTAGCTGTTACAAATTTCAGGTACCTGTTTTTCTCTTTCTCAGACACCACACGCGGTTCTGCTGTTAAAAGGTTTTCTATCTCATTTGCTCGACACCCAACCAATGGTACGTTTTGCTTTTATTTTAAAAACAAAATCAAAAACAAAAGGTTTCTTGCTTCATCCCTTTTATTTTTATTTCAAATACGGGGTGTACAGTATCATCCAGCCGTCTGTTGTTCCTAACTTCAAGCACAATTCCAAATATATTTGTAATCATTAGATATCCTAAATTCTTTCTTTACCATTCATTAGTATAAATACAACATCAAAATTCATTACTTAGAAAAATCAGCGAAAAAAAATTAGGTACTACTGTTAATCATGATCTCTAATAAATTATTCTCCTGAAGTTCTTGTGTGATCAGACTGTATGGTACAAGATACAAACAATGAAATCTGATCTTATTAAACATACACTTCTTGATAGCTGCTGTTTCTTCTTTGTCTTTCTCCTGCTGAACTGATTCTCTGAGCCTGCCCATTCTAAAATAAGTCACTGAATTGACAGCTGGAGTTTACGACTATCTTCTTGAAGTGATGCTAAATTACAAAAACTAAAGCAGAAGCTTTGGTTCTGTTCCTGCTAAATTGCTGTATTTTTTATGGGACAAACATTTATTTTACCTTATCATACTTCTCTGTTCATCAGATGTGCAAATTACTTAAATATTGCACTAAAAATCACAGCGAGATGGCTGTGACTTCTTGAGCAGCATTGACCTCTTGAGCTTCAAGAGTGAGAGTTAACTGTCTTCAGTTTGCAAAATTTCTCGTTTAACACACAGGACAGAGGTATGTCTTTTTCTTCCTCAGCAAAATATTTTGCGTCTCCCTTTCTACATGACTGAATAGGCCCCAGATATATTCAGGGCCAACTGGACCTGAATGTAGCTTTTCCAGATTTCTTCACTGCAGTTTTAAAATGTGCATGACTGCTGGCTAAGTTCAGTGATAGTGATATTGAAATTGCAGTGGAAATCATCAGTATTTTCATGTTAGATTCAAAATATTTGTGCTAGATTCAAGATATTTGTGTTAGATTCAAAATCCTTGTGCTAGAGTCAAAATCCTCATGTTAGATTCAAAATATATTTGCTTAGAAAAAAAGTTTAAAAAAAAAGACTTAAGTTTTTGTTTAGCCTTGCTTAGAAGCAGAGTTGTATTTTGTTACATTCATTTTAAATCTATAGTGGCTTTTTTGCACTGCGGTGCTTTATAAAGGAAAACTGTAGTAAGGCTAAATTTCTTTTTAAGACTGTGTTTGATCAAAAATTACAAATCTAATGTTTTATCTCAAATAGAAAAATCAGAAGTCCAGTTTTTATGTTACAACTCAAACCAAACAATATTCCCAAAACATACAAGGTCAGAGAGTAAGAACTGCATTTCAGAATCTGTGGCTAATAATAGACTTACCTTTTGTTCCATTAAGTCACTTTTTGTGATTCCATTCTTTTAAAAAAAAGGATCTAAATAGCTTTTATCAATCACACTTCTTGTTCTGATTCATTTAATGCAGCAGTTTTGCTACACATCTTTGACAAGATTAATGCATGCAGTATGAGCTCCTATGAACCCTAAGTATATTGCAGTTTCCAGGGGTTCTCTGCTGACATAACGCCCTATTGATGTTGTTTCGTCTGTCCTTTGCACTATCATTTTAATTATCCTTGTCCCTTTCACTCTGTGTTTTTCTTTCTTTTATGTTGTTATCACACCCTCTTAACTCATTTCAGACTACCCCCACTCCCCCCACCCCATCTTTAGTTCAAGGAACATGGTGAAACAAGTATCTTCTGAAAGTGCTATACCTTATTTTCTGGGCCTCTGCAGAACACCCACACCTCTTTAGGTGCTGGTCCATTTCCTCTGTGGAATTTCTAGGCTCCAGTGGTATGTCTCTACAGTTTTTGAATCTTAAGACAGCAAGAGGTGGCTTTTTGAGATGCTGCGTTAACCCTTTCATTGGCTTGCCTTTTGATGTTTTAAGAATAAATGCAGTCAAAAATCAAAGGCTGATAGTGTACAGGAAATTGCCTTCTTAAAGGGATACTGTTGGGCTTCTTCATCATAAAATTTAAAATTTATTTCCTATACCATCAGATAATATTTATCAGAAAACAATTAAATAAAACACGACACATAGATTTCCCGATTATGTTTTAAGCCATATCCCTTAGAAATAAAGATATTACAGTGACATTCTGGGATATGACTAGCTGACAGCAGAATTGTCAAAACTCAACAAAAAAATTTGGAGGGGAAATTCCTAAAACAAGAAAATTTTACTTCTTCTCTTTTTTCTTTTAAAGTGCATTTTGGAATTCCTCTTTGGTTCTCTGTAACATGCACTATAACAATAATAGTTACTAAGAAGTTGACCTGACATTGTCCCACTTCATTAATTGCAAAATTAGAAAAAAATAATTCTCATTCAAGTGATAGGAACTTTTCTGTCAGGGAAAAGAGAAATCTTACATTTTACTGTAAGGCAACGAAAGGGTTTGCGCTTTACATGCATGCATATAGTTATTTAGGATATTAATACGTATGGTAAGCATCTTAGTGCTTACACGGAAGGCTAGCTAATGACTTTGTAGGAGAATAGAAATTAATTTTGTGGTGGTGTTTCTTTTGTACACAAAACTCATATTTTCATGAAATGCAACATTTTGTTTATAATTTAAGTGAAGCTGAAATAAGTCTACCTCAGTTGGTTGAATATCAGTAGCAATGGCCCCCAAAATTTGAATACGGCCAAGGTGGGTCTAAATATAAATACAGACATATGGAGGTTGAAATCTTTCTTCTTTATGCATAGTACTGATGGGGAGTGAATGGACAACACTGGATATCACAGGAACATTGTTGCTTATTATTTTATGGGAAAGAACAGTTCCCAGTCATAATGTTACCTCTAATAAATGTACCTTGAACTTAAATTCTAAACATTATTTCATTCACTATTGCTTCTTCATTTAATTGTCTTAGAAGAAATTTACAGTGTTGAATTGCAAAGTTGTAATGTTACAGCTGTATGTTGAAAACACTAGTGGACATGTTTTCCTCTTCTGAAATTCAACTGGATGAAGCGCTGTTTATTGAGTTACCAAACTTGAATCACTTTAGAGGACTGAAAATTTTTTTTAGCCAGGATGTTTAAACACTTTTTAGTCAGTTAGTACTATGGATATGCATGGTTAGTGTATGATCAAGACTAACATAGAAAAGCAAAGTCCAATAAATTGTTAGATTTTTGGGTTGCTTTACTTACCTGTTCCAATATATGAAACTTCTAGTCTTTCAATACTGTTTTTAAATGCATAAAGGTAGGTGTATATCTGTCTCAGAAAGTAAGTGTATCTTGTATACCTCAAGATATAAAAATGCTAACAGTGGTTTTCCTTTGATATTAAAGACAACAGTTTATTTTCACAGAATACTGAAGATGATAGAACATGAATTCTGAAAATTTATTTCGTGGAAGATACAGCATTTTTAGCTCTTTTCTGCTAACAAATAGCTATCCCTCCTTTCTTGCATGAATGAATTACCTATTCAATCTTGTGCCAGGTATTAGAATGATTAGGATAAATAACTACCTTTTCCTGACTTTTTTTTTTTGTGATCTGCTAAATTTGTCTTAAAGGGAGATTATCTTTCATGAACTGATTTGGGAGTAGGGCACAGTTCTCATGTTGGAATAATTTATGTGTACACAGGTACTTCATGTGTACACGGGACTTGTATCCCATGTATTGTATCTTTAGCTGGAAACTGGCTCATCTTGTTCCAACTCCTGTAATATTTAATTTCCAAGATTTCAAGAGGCTTATGCCTGCACGTGGTCATGTAAACTAAGCATTTTTTATCATGCATTAATGCAGTACCTTAAATTCTGTCTTATGTTTGGAAATCTCTTTTTTTATTATTTTTTTATTTTAGGTTTTGAACTGTATTCGATGGTGCCTTCTATTTGTCCTTTGGAAACTCTACACAATTCCTTGTCTCTGAAGCAAGTGGATGAATTTCTTGCTTCTGTTGCTGCTCCACCAAGGGAAAATCTACAGGAGACATGTACTGGTTATAGTTTGTAATTACGTTAATTTTAAATTCTTAATTGTTGTTTAGTTAATCCGCAGTGTTTGCAGCTAGCAAGTATATTTGTTAAAAAAAAGGATACTGCTTTTGAAGAAAATGAAAATGTACATAAACTATAATTTTACATTTTGCAGTACCTTTTGTGGGTATGGACATATGTAATTCATTGAAGTAGCGTCTCTGTTGGTGGAGGTAGTAAATTAAGGATTTAATGAAATCATAGTTTATTTCCTTTATTATTATATTGACTTCTCTGTACTGTCCACACTCAGCTGAATTACAGGTAATGCTTTTCAGGGAGCATGCAGTATTCTCAGCTTTATACTGTAATGTTGCATTGTCAGTAACCTCAGCAGAATAGTGTTGCATTTACACTTAAAACTTCATTGTTTCCTGTTTCTTTCAGTATTACTCTACACCTGTAGAGCGCTTTACAATTACTTAGCTTTTAGCAGTTCATGCTGCATGTTTAAAGTTTAGGTGATCTTGAAAGGAAATACAGCTGAAATCTATCCTGTGCATGTGTCTGGGGAAATGATTCCCCATTGTCATTCTAGTACTGTGTCTTTGGAAATGGTTTAAGTTAGGTCAGATTTACCACATCATAGGATGTGTCAGGTGATTGAAAATCATCCTTCCTAAGGAAGTGTCTAAAGACTTATGCTTTGATTAAGAAAGAACCTTGTACTGTTTCCTATCAAAGTACTCATACAATAGTATTCTACCTGTTTGGACTTATCCCTTTTTTCTACTACAGGATTTTTCAATTTTTCCCCCACTATTTTATGCAGTTTAGATTTTAATCAGCAGCTTATTTGATAGGGTATGCCTCCTATATTTGAGCAGGAGTATAAGCAATTTTAAGAAAATTGATGTAACTGAAAAAGAGCTCAGAGAGGTTTGTAAGTATATGAAAATTCTCAGCTACTTAAAATGTCTTTTTATGCTGGTTAGGAATTTTGTGTGTCTTCAGTAACAGTTCAGAATTGAGAGTATACAAGATGAAGAAATATTGAAAAACAAAATGTGTCATACTCCTAGCATATGGTTGTCACCTTTCTAACAAGGAGTGATTGGAAAATAGACTTGATACAATTAAAGTCATAGATGTTTAGTTCTCCTGCTTTCCTGTACTATTTAGAGGTTGTGTAGAGATTAATGCATTGTGTGCACTTTTTATAGACATATTGGACTTAAAGCCTATTCAGGTGAAATCTTCCTAACCTATGAGAAATAGCACAAATGCTTTTTGCCTTCTTCTGGCAAGGCACCTATTACTGAAATTCTGCCTTAACAGCATGAGCTTGTTGTGTTGCTTTCTGTTGTAAAAAAGAGATTTTAAGATTTGTCTTTCATATTGTAAGGGTTTGACACTTGAGTCAAAAATTGGTAGCTGAGCAGCTGGTTTTATAAATGTGGTATCTATTTTGCTGGATGGATACACAGTCCTGTGGCTACAGTTTTTGACATCTGGTTTAGGTCAGAATACTTTTATTATTAATGATTTTTTTTTCCCCCCATCATTTCAGCTACTCCAACTTACATGATGCCCCTTTCAGGAAGGAAAATTTCTTTAAATACATTTACCCCTGCAAAAATTCAACCAACTCCACTTGAAACTTTGCCTGAAAGGCTAGTGGTGGAGAAACTAACCTTATGTAAGTAAATTCTGTCAAAGGCAGAATGACTAACTTGATTATTTCCAGCGGTTTAATTCTTCCTTATATATTACACAATTTCATAGGACAGCTTTTTCTTAACATTCCCTACATAAGCAGAATCATGTTGTGGGTCAGTAGCATTGCACAAATAACTTTAACAGTAAAACTGTGTTAATAGTTACTTTCTCTTATCCTCTGAATTGTTTCATTTTCTATGGCCTGAAGTTCATGAGCTTTGGTTTTGAAGTATGACAGCTATCTCCAAGTAAGACAAATTTATTTCTTTAAATGGCTAAATTTCTAAGATGTTTTCTGAACACCTAATGTAGAGCTCTGTGACTCTGTTCTGACTAAAGCTGACAATAACATGATGATGCATTCAGTCATTAGTATGTTCAGTCTGAACTGTTGGCGTGCTATCCTGTCTGCCCTTGGATGGTTGTGCTGTTTAGAGACCAAATTTCACTTGGATTTCTGATTTTATTAGATAGTCTAGCTTACTTGTTTCCATGCTAGATAACATGCATTTTTCTTGCCTTTCTGCTTTTTAGCATGGATATTAAGCATAAAATCTAATACATCTTTTCTCTCTATCTGTACAGCTACCCTTGGATGTCCTGTTAATGTATCTAATATTAAACCATCTCTTGAAGAGGCCTCAGTAGATGCAGAACTTTGTGGTGAAACTCCTTCCGAGAAGAAATGATCAGACAAAACTGGAAACAACTTCTTAAACAGTTCTTCAGTGTGTATTCAAGCAAGTTATGGAGCTGTCAAAAGCCATTCACGTTTGCATCTGCAATTCATAGTGCACTTAAAAATCTTTATACGCGGTTAACTAATGTGCACAGTATTTACATCAAGCATCTTTTCTCATTTTCTAAATACACTTATCAGTTTGATGAATGTCACAGCTTTTAATGGAAAAGCTGCAAGTGAACCTTTTGTGTGTCTTCAAATATCTACTGTAAACATGTACAAAAACAAGATGGTATGTATTACAGTGGTTTTGTTATTGTCACTGTAATGAAAGCGTTGTCTGTTGTCATCATAAACTTCTATTTTCAGGAGTTTATCATCTCCCTGTGAATTTCTTCTGTGTGCTGAAACAGAACACGCATCTTAGCTTTTTTTTAAAATGTAACTACATTTCCAAAGAGATGTCTTTTCCCTGGTTTGGAGATAAGCAGATATTTTCTGCATTTTAATTATATTATATTATATTAGCTGCAATAATTAGGCATGATGGAGTGAGTTCATGTGTCAGCACTTTTGACTACTCTTTTTCTTTTTTCTGTGTTTACATCAGACCTGTAACATTCAAATCTACCTTCTTGTTTATTGTTTAGTACACATGCTTGTATACAGATACCTGTATATCATCCAGACGTAAAACTGTCTTTTATATCTATAAACTATCTTTTATCAAAACCTTCTTTTGCTTACTAAAAAAGACAGTTTTACTTTCCTTGCCATGTGTTTCTAGAAAAAGGTGATACTAAAAAGCAGGTTTTGTAGAATGAGAAATGTTACAGCTGGTCTGCTGCTAGGTTTATTCTGAAAATTGTAAATATTCCTCCTATGATTTATTGTCATCATTTCAGCACAGAGAGAGACTGTGGACTACCAGAACTCAGTGTGTGCTGTTGCAAAATACTCAGGATTCATCATGGCCTGGGAATTTTCATACCTCCCTCCTTCCAAGCTACTGGTTGATAGCAACTCTCAAAAAAACCTACAACAAACAAACCAAAAAAACCACAACAAGCAAACAAAAAAACAACCAACCAACCAAAACCCACAAAAATAAATAAAAAAAAAAAAACCACAAAAAACCCCCACAAAACAAAAATAAGAAAAAAAATAAACATTTTATGAGATGTAAGAAACATTTCTAAATTGGTGGAACATGGAGTTGTGGTGTTACGTAGAATAATTATCCAATCTAAGCAATTTTTGTAATTTTTTTCTGAGGCATGAAAAATTACTGGGTTATCAGTACCCCAAATGTATGAAAATATAGACCACTTCTTTAAGTTCAAGTGGCTGAGTAGTAAGAATGGACTTCATATCTACAAGTTAGGTTATTCCTTTCATGTTTAAGCTGCAGAAGACAGCTTATGAGTAAAATGTTTAAGTAGGGCTCTTATTTGTCTCCAGAGCCAGTGCAAACTGCACTAGTTACATTCACTAGTTACTATTTACATTCACTTCATCACAGGGTCTTTTTTCAGTGTTTACCGTATATGAAAAGGCTTCAGCAGATGATTTCTAACAATGCTGATTCAATACCAAAAATATTAAGGGTTTCACAGCTATATACTTCAAGCATTTCATTTTCCATAGGGTAATTGTGTTATTTACAATGTTGGTCTTGCATACAACTGAATGTACCCTTGTTTACCATTTAAAAAGAAAACCTAAAAATTTAAGTATATGTATCATTCCAGTCAACCAAAGCTGTGGCATAACTTTTTTTATGTGGTTCTAAATAAAATCAAGGTCACTGGCAACTTCTCTCTATTGTATTTTCTTTTAAAAGCACTGTGAAGTATAGTGAGTAGCTGACAAAGTCATCTCCGTGGAAAACTATCTTCATACATGCCAGTAATTTACAAATAAGCCAGAATTACTCTTGGTGGTAAGGATGTGGCATAAAAGAGATGATGGTATCATTTTATACTGAAATCACTCCTCAAAAAGATAAGCAGCAGTCTCACATTCTGCAGTGCTTTGTCATTCTCTGGAATGATAAGAATAAATATAGGACCACTGTGAGTGCTCTTCTACTTGCTGTTGAGACTGACAATAGGACACAATGTGGACTGTACAAGTTTGAACCTATTTTGAATTCCTTTTTTTATGCAATATCACTCCCTCACATTAAACTTTTTTAAACTATACATCCTATTCCAACCAGATTTGGCAGAGGTCAAAAAATATGTTTACAGAAAATCAGTGGTCAAAATATGACAGTGACTCCTAAAATATTATCACCCTGCAATGTAGTTTAAGTAATTATTTAGCTTAGCATTTTTCAAAAATGAAGCATCATTACAAAATAGACCAAACCACAAACCACAAAAATATGTGTGAAAAATCCTAAAATTAATTTAAATCCTGTTTTATGTTTCTTTATTATAAGCCATAAATTTCAGTTATGTAATTATCCAAGCATGCAGAGGCTGTTAAGGGAAAGCAGATGTACTTCCAAAGTTCTGTTTTGGAGAAATCCATATAAACAGGCCTAGGGAGGTATGCATACAAGAAATAATTATACATATTATCACAGTTCAAAAATAGTGAACATATATGGAACAACAGCATCAAAAACAGTTCAAAGGATAATGGCAGAAGACATGTATTCTTCTATTTTTCTTTCTAAATAATGGTTTTCATTTTACTTGCTTTTGTGAGGACAAATTTCATTGAGTATTTTTAAGTGATAATTTTTTTATTCCCTCACTTAGCCTTAAAAACAACCATCTTGTGCTCTGAAATACAGGAACTGGTTAACACCAAAGCAGTCCAGAGTGTATTACTGTGAAAAAGAAATGTTGAATAAAAAAAAAGGGCAAATATTTTATCTATAAAAAGAGAATGTGTGTGTGAATGGCATCAAATGTGGGCCTAGGAGGAGGAAAATGCACTAAATACAGAGAATATCTGCACCATAAAAGCTAGAAGCTAGTGTAGGAAAGACTTTAGAAAGAAAGCTTAAATTCTGCATTGATACAAAACCAGTTCTAAAGTGGACTTGCTTTAAAAATATAAAACCAGACTTTATTGAAAAATTGTCACAGTACCACACAATGGATGAATATACTATATAGAAATAGACTTCTAATCCCAAATTCTGAAAAATTAGAATTCACAGATCTCCATTCTGTTCAGTCAAAGAGATAAGTCACTGACAAGAAAACAAGATAATTGGGTGACATACATTTTGCAACAGATGCAGAATACTTTTAATATAATGGCGGTATCTTTGCTTCCAACAAAGCTTGTTTGGTCTGAATGCACCTGTCTTACCCAATCTCCTATTTCATCTCTCCAGAAGAAGGACTAAATGTTCCTTTCTTTAATAAAATTATTATTTGTTTACTAATACAAGTACTAAAAATTTGTGACTCTTTTAAAATCTAAGTCCATTCAGACTTACTGTCTTATTTGTTTTCAGACTCTAAACAGCTTTTTCATTTTTCTTTTGGGTGAAGGCTGGGAATATACTTAGACTTAAATTACTATATGTAAAACTTCCATAAATTATTTCAAAAGGCTACTCTGGAAAGCATTTTGAACTCTATGAATTTAAACTACGTCTGTAGACATTTTTAAAGAGCACTCACACAGAACATATACAGTTACAAATACTGAAAAGCAGAAATGAAAATAAATTAGAAAATCCAACCAAGAGAATTCAAAAGACTGAAGTGACATTGGATTTGAAACAGAATAGAATAAAAAAATAACCTGGAGGTTCCTGTCTTTTCTAGCTTTGATATTAGTTGTGAAAAATGCCAATCACTTGTTTTTAAAATTTTTAAAGTTTAATAGTAATAAAATGGTTATAAAAATAGTAGTGCAATTAGAGTAATAACAATTTGGAAAAATTGAATTAGGACAATATGAGACAATAAAAACAAAGAGTTACGGACGTCCGGGTACCTTTTCCTGGGCATCACGAGCCGTAAAAGGACACCTGTTAACAAAGGATTAACCCTTAAAAGCAATAGCCTGTTGCATATTTATACACTTCATACATGATGCATAAATGCCATTCAAACACAGGATTCTGTCTGGTCATCGTCAGCTTCTACCTCTGAATACTAACACCACCTTCGAGGCAGGAAGAAGTTCGTTTCTTCTGATAAGAAGGCAATAAATTCTTTTTCTCTGAAAGATTCAGGCATCCTGTGGCTGCTATCTTACTGCAAGTCTTTTCTTTTAAAAAAGTATCCTACATAGCATAGTTTCTATTTTAACATTTTTTATAACCTAAAACTATATTTAACACACTACTTAAGAGAAATAATACAGCATTACTTTCTAACACAACACATAAAATATTCATTTTAATATTTGCAAAAAGCCAGTAATAAAATACATGCATTTCTCAGATAGTTACGAGTACTATCTGGAAGTTTTAGTACGAGGACTAAAACTATGTGCTGTTTTAGGTCACAAAAATTAAGAACAATTCTAAGGCACCTGAATGCATCCAGAAGAAGACAACCAAGCAGGTAGAAGGGCTGGAAGGCCCATCCTGCAAGGAGCGGTGGGGTTTAGAAAGAAGGAGGCATCAGGGGAGGGTCTGACTGGACGTTAAGAAGCATTTTCTTTCTGAGAGGACGATAAAACCCTGGTACAGGCTTTCTAGAGAGGTAGTTAATACCCTGAGCCTGTTGGTGCTCAAAAATAGGCATCTGGATAATGTCCTTTGTTGCAGTGTGGCAGGGTGGTAGAAATGCTGCAGCCTTCTTTGAAATGTCTCCAGAAACTGCTCAGAGTAAGGCCAGAAGAACAGCCATTTCAAGTCCATGCACACACATGCCACAAATAGCTCAGCAGTGGAACAGGAAGGGTCTTTGTATGATATATTCCAGCGAGGGTTTGTTACATCCACCATGCCAAAAGAACCACAGACAAAAAAGAAAACTATGTGGTCTGCACGACTTAAGAATGGGGTCAGTGACTAATGACCTGAGGGCACAGGGGCGGGCAAAGGGCAGGGCAAAGGGCAGTAACCTGTAGCGGAAATGAGAGATGAATAATTGGGGTGCAGTGTCAACTGGGCAACGAGGGAGGCAATCTAATGTAGATTGGCAGCAGTGCTGCAGAGCATCATGGGTTAAGTCCACTGTATCAGCCTAGATGGGGAAAACTCTATGATACAGTCTTCCAAGGCAAGGCTTTGGGGATTTCCCTGAGGGGGAGGAGTCAGAGGACTCCACAGTCCTTCATAATGGGCTTTAAATTTGGTCAGCCCTAAAGTGGTCAGGCAGTTAAACCAGATGATCACTGTAAGTCACAACTGCTCTATTCTATTCTATTCTATTCTATTCTATTCTATTCTATTCTATTCTATTCTATTCTATTCTATTCTATTAGCTGCCATACATTTTAAACTCAACATAGGCTATGCAATCAATCCAAAAGCAATAAGGTTAAACAAGGATCATAGGAACACACAGTAACTCAGGATGGAAATGGCTTCAGGAAGGCTGTGGTGCAATGTCTTGCTCAAATCAGGGTCATCTGTGCAACCAAACAATGTAACTTAATCCAGCTTGCACTTGAGAGCCTTGAAGAATGGAGACTGCACCAACTCTGTGAGCAACCAGGTCCACTTTTAGACATGTCTTCATCACTTCTCTTGCTCTTTAACAATGCACAGTTTGATTTTGATAAACTTACTTACCTTCAATAAACAGCCTACAGCAATATTGGCAAGTATTTTCTGTTGCCTCCCCCTATACATGAGCACACTAAGTGCAAATTTTTCTAAAGACTGGTCCAAAATTTCACTTCCCTTTCCCAATAACTTTTAGATCTCAAGGTGTAAGACAGTGTATGTCTCTTCACGTTAAATAGTTCTGTTTATAGTTTGAGATGCTCTGAATCACAGCTAGTACTAACTGAAGATCTGCAAAATGCACAAGATTCTAAACCCACCACTTTTTCATATTCGTTCCTGTGTTTGTGTCCATTGGACAAAATTCACCTTGCTTAAACAGCTGTTATTCCAGCTGAAATCAGCTTAATTAGGCAAAAAAGTAAATTTGGCCCAATAAGTAAATCAAGGGATGCTTTTGCACTTATTAAACTTTCTAAAGTTAATTTTTTTAACTGTTATATAAAAATTAAGATGGTATTTTAATAAATGTTGTGCTTTAAATTTTTTTGTTTAGGTTTTGAGTTGATTTTCATTGTACTCACTGGTCTGCTAAGTTTTTAACTTAGCCAAATAATCTTCTAAGAAATTGGCAACTTTTTAATTTGGATGGAAAAGTTGCAAGTTATATGGCAACATGTAATATTTCTTTCTTTGTCTTTCAATATAAAAATACTCTTTCTGTGCCACCCACCCCCCACCACGCTCCCCAATATAACGCTCTTCTGCCACATCAGCCATACCCTCCTCAGAGGCTGGCTTTTCTCTTCCCTGCCCCCTCTCAAATTAGTGCCTTGGTTTTTATCCTGTATGTAGTTCTGGATTTTCAGCAAAAATTGTGTTTTCAAAATAATGGCTACAATCCTTCAAAAGCAAAAGGAAAGTGAGTATTTAGTAAAAATGTTTGTCTTGTCAGGCTTGTTGATTAAATCCATGTAAAGAGAGCCAAAGAAACACAATGAGTAAATATTCTATAAATTGCTCAGCTTTCAGCTGTTGAATTTAGTAACTTCACTAATGCTCAAAACACCATAGCAGTTTCCATTGTACAAACATGGAATACAGGAATAGCAAGAAAAATAAGCCTTTTGATAAAAGCACTCATGGGATAATAAATCAGGAAGCGCTTGAAGAGGATAGCAGAAATTGAGCTGTTTTCCATGTATTTTACCTTTAATACTGTGTTTACTTACAAATTGTCTTGTATCGTCCTTCTAATTGACAGTCATTGATGTGGAAGCTACTGATGAGCACAGTCTGAAATGTTGGTATTTCACGTTCTGGCCAGGATGATGCAGAGAAAATGGCTTGTAACAGTCTCTTTCTCTCTGTGTTGCAACAGGACTACAGAGTGTTAATTAGATCTTATATGGGAAAACAAAGGCCAAGTTTACTAAAGTATCTTTATTTTTCATGTAAAATCTTGGATGTGTTGATAAACATTGGGAAAAAGCAATGAAATACAGTAGTTTAACTTCAGAAAATCTTAACAGCATGATTGCATTGAAAAAGCAAAATTTTGAAAATTATGGATTTAGGAAACTAGGCTCATTTTCAAATATTTGGTTTGGAATTTGAATACTAGCTTTAAGTCTTCAAGATCTTTCTTTCTTCTGGTGCCTAGGAATTTGAAAGTTTTGCACCATGTTAATTCTGTCAATGTGATAAATGTTAATAAATTTTACAGCTAATTAAATACTAAAATATCCTACTGATGCCTGCCCTCTTCTCCTTGGAACTCCATTTCAGAGTCTGACTGAAAACTCAGTTGACAGTGAGAGCAGGAAGTTGTTGGGAGGAAGTTTGTTGGAAGAAAATTGTGATATACTAACTCACAAGATCTTACCACCGCATTTATGCCTTGGGACAATATAGGAAGATGGGATTTCTCGCTCAGGCCAGTATTGCAGGCGTCAACATGAACCAAAGGAGTTTGTGTACTGTGAGCAACATGGAGCATCATAACACCCCGAACTACACTCCAGGTTTCTTTTCTTGGACTGCTGATTGACCAGATACACTCCCCATGTTGTGTACTAAACTTACAAATTTAGTTTTAGAGTGCTTTTGTGATGTTGCAAACACTATGACTCTTAATGGCTTGCAGAGCCTGTAATTAAAATTCCTTATAAAAACATTGGGATTTATTTCTCTGTTGTTTATTCTAGCTGAAAATTCCAAGGAACACAAATTCCAGGAGCATTTGGGTGCATAGTGGTTAGTCTGGGTGCATATGGAATGCCAACACCCTTCAGACCAGCAATTCAAGACCAGAGCACCTGCAACTTTCTTGGCAGGATTATTGGGACTAGAGGGAGAACAAAATGTGGCCTTGGTATGGGGGTCATCAATGCCTTCCCAATCAGACTAATAAACTTCAGCTGTGTGTTTAAGAATGAGTCTTTAAAGACTCATTTTTAGAAACAAAATCTAGCTTAACTCCACCGCTAGGGGTTTAAGAGCTGTGTGGTAGAGCTCATAACTATTATTAAAGGGGAAAACCAGAACTATGACATCAAGCTTTTTCTTCCCCTTTCATTTCACTTGCAAAAGCCAAGTTAAGCAATTGTTTGCAAGGTTTGCTGCAGTAATAGCAGCTTTGTCTGTGCAGCAAAATGCAATAGGGAAATTATCAAATTGGTTGTTGGCAAAACCCATTACTAAAGGTTTGTTATCTAGTTGGCGTTCAAACTTTGTAGGCTGTTTGGAAATACTACAGAAGTGGGCGGTATGCTCGTGATGAGACAGTCACCAAGAGATGGTTGCTAGATCCATTCTTACAGGCATATACGACGCAAGAATGGTATAGGGGACTAATGCTTATTAAACCACCCTGAGGACAGCTGAAAAACACCGAGGCTCACGCCGAGAAGGGAGGCGGCGCTCCGAATGGCCTGGATGTACTGCACGGAGCCGCAGCCACGCTCCGCCCTCAGCCCGGCGCCGGGTGGGCCCGGGGAACTGGAGCGCCCCGCGCACCGCCCCCGGCAGCTGCTGCCGCGCGGACCCCGCCGCGCTGGGCCGCAGGTACGAGCGACCGGGAACTGAGGCCAGGCTCCGCGGCCTCCGGCCCTGCCCTCGGTTCCCGGAGCTGGGTGGGCCCAGGGAGGGGCCGTAGGCGGGAGTCTTCTTGGGTGGGCGGTAGTGCCGCCAGCGGGGAGGCCTAGGGTGCCGTGTGGATCGCCCCACCCGAGGGCGCCGGCTTCTCTGCCCGCTCCCGGCGGCCGTATGGCGCGCGGGTTGGGGTCCGGGTGAGCCGTGCCCGGGCAGCGCCAGGGCGCATGGTGCGGGCAGCGGCCCTGCGCTCTTGCGGGCCCCGGAGCCCGCCCTGCGGCCCCGACTGCGGCGGGGCTGAGCCGGTAACGGGGAGCAAGGCAGCCCGGCCGCCCTAGGAGAGCCGGATGCTTGGTGGTGATTCCCATGTCTATATGGAACCCGGGGAGTTGCCATGCGGGGCCTGCGGGCTGCGCTGAGGCTGCTCCTGAGCGCTCTTCGTGCCACCCGATGGGTGACAGTCTAAGTGGTGGAAAAGCCCAGAACTTACTCTTTTGCAGTTATATCTAGTATTAGTGTAAGTATGCATTTAGTGCGCATAACCGTCTCCTCAGTTGCAGTTTAAAGCACACTGGCAGCCCCATACTCAGACACGTGATAAACGTGAATATGATCTTACTATTGAATCTGACAATGACAATGTGCACCAGGGCACAGCTTTCTGTGGGTAACTGTTGTATTAGTTTGTAATAAATTTTGTTTAGTGAAGAGTAGACAAGAGTTTTGTCTTAATATTTACTGTATGGCCTGTGAAGCTCACAGACTGTGCTTGTGCACTCGAAGGTGTATTAAAGTGTTACTTCAGAGCATTAAACTTGATAAGCTGCTTTGGTTCATTAGCAGGCATGTTTTTCCAGTTCTGTCTCTGTACATTTCCTGGAAAAGTGTCTTCGAACAGCTGCAGTGCTGTTTTGAGTGGTATGCAGAATGTAGGAAAACAATCTCAGATCTTAAGTCTCTGTATATATTACTTATATGCTGGTTTATATGTATTTTGCCTAGCATAAATGTATTCTTTATTACAAAGAAAAAGAGAAATTATGAACACTAACAAATGCTTCTTATAAACATGTCTTTGTTACTGTATTTTCTAAAGTGGGCCAGGATGTCATACATGTTTGCTTGTATAGCTGCATGCAGAAAGCTGCTTCTCCCACCACCCTCCTGCTGTTGGTATGTTTTGAACCATATTCCAGCTAATGGGGTGTGCTTGTTTCAGTTGACTCTTTTCTCCCTTGAGGAAGGGCATTTGTCGATAATGAAGATAGAGGAGCGTGGTTCTCACAGGGGCTTTGAAGCAGAGGGAAATGAGGGAGTGGCAGTGCAATCACTGAAATTAAGCTCTTGTGTAAGAGTACTGACATTATAGTGTAGCTTTCTGTACATTCTTGTTTTTGATCAGCCTTATGCTGCTGGCTTGACCACCAGCAATATGCAAATGAGGTACGGTATTGCAAAGTCAGATGAGTCAGAACTGAGTGTTCCAGGAGGCAGATTTCTGTTCACACTAGTTGTAAGTTTAATAGAAATTCACTGTGACTGCATGTACTGTTGGGCTTTCATTAATTGTTACTCTCTGCTTGCATTACTCTTGTTTTAAAGCAGCCTTTAAATAAGGGAAGGAGCATTTGAGAAGCAGACAAAAACCAGAACTTTAAAGCCTTTATGTACATTACTTTAGTGACCTTGAGAAAGTGACCTTTATCAATGGGGATTGTGTAGGTGAACATGAAACGGATGCTTTAAGTTTTGAGTTTTGTATTTTCCAGATTCTGTACTGCATTAGTATATAACTCTGACCTTCATATAAAGTGTTAGCAAATTCTCTTCACAGTTTAGTTAGACAAAATAATCCTTTTCCAACCTGAGAACCAAAGACACCATTGCAGCTTCAGGCCCAAAAAGTATTAACAATAGCAAATTGAGGAGAGCAAACTGGGAGGATGGTACTTTATTACCTGAAGCTGTAATAGGACAATTAACCGCAATATGTAAATTGAACGAAACATAAAAATGTGAAACATCGTGACCAGTTACTCATTTTGGGTGTAGCCAGAGCCGGGCCCTTGTACTGCCCAAGGTATATCCTTTGAAGGCCTTTTTATTAAATACCTTCTTTATTCCTTTAACACTGTCTAGCCTCTCTCTAGGTAGCCTCTCAAGGCATCAACACTTTTCCACCAAATATGTAAATATCTGCTGCAGGTGGTAGCAAGGTAAGACAGAGAACAAGTGACTTAAAGTGCTTCCATTAAAAAAACTGAAAAAACTAAATTGCATTGGTCGAATATATTTTTCATAATATTTATGAGTAGGTCTATTTTTAAAGTTTCCTTGCTTGAATAGCTGTTCCTAGTCAAAAGCTGAATATGGTATGGTGTAGGCTGATCATTTCAAAATAATGTCACCAGAGCTGCACTAACTTGTAAGTATAGAATACCACCCAGCCTAAATTTCTTTTCTAACACAGAAACATTGGAGACCCATAGTCTCTTTGGTTCTTAAAGAAAAGAAATCAGTATTTATTTAGTGAAAACTGGGATACTTCAAGCACTCTCCTTTTGTTTGTTTGTTTCTGTCTCTTATTTTTAAAAGGTGATTTAGTTTTTTTTGACAGCTCAGGTTGTTTGGTGTCTTCCCAAGTGGGCTAACCTGAAAGTAATAACTATGAAAATTAAACTTAGATTTTAGTAGATGAAAAGATGGAAGATCAAAAATACAGTGAAGTAAAAATGAAATATAAGGGAAACATTATTTTACATTCTAATCCAATAAAGAATAAAAATTATATGTGTTACAATATGCATCAGCTACTTTGCATGTATCTCACAGTTTCATTTTTTGATGAGTCAGCATAGTAAACAACCACATTTATGCTGGCCAGGAGCATCATTTTACTGACCAAGTGAAGGGGAAGTGTTTGTCTGTGATTCAATCCAACAAGGGAGTCTCATTGTCCATGTGGAAGGCTCTAAATATTTTAGAGAACTTATGGTCTGTTAAACACTTCTGTCCAGTGTTGCGTGGCAGAGAGATGTTAAATGGCCTTCTTTCCCACCATTTTATTTCACTTCCCTGCCTGCTAAGTCTGCTCATACAAAATTCATTAGTCTGGTCAGACTTTACATTCCATGTGTCTCTTTTCTTTGTAAATCCTATGCTCTGTCATACTGATCTGCTCTGAGGTAGTCAGTTGTGTTGCTAGCTGTAGTTTCTCAGTAGTGCACTTGTGTCTTCAGTCTTCAATTTTAAAAGGTAGTTTTCTGGATCATAATAGTTTTCTTTTTAAAACTTTTAGTAACAAGAATTTAAAAAACTGGTTCCTGCTACTTGGAGTAGGGGGATATTAGTAGAAATTGATGTAATCATCTTTTCAGAAAGAACACTTTGTAAATTATTGCCTGGTATACTGGGTAGCTGAATGGCTTAATTTTTTACCTGTTGACAAGAACAAACCCCCTCTCCCCAATACACACACACTTTAATAGTTGTTTCATAGGCTGTTGTTTTACATTACATTCTGAAGTTACTGCACTGGCTTTATTAATTCAGTAATATCAATTCATGTTTTCTTAAGGTCTGTAGGATTATAGTGTATGTTTTATGCATAATTTTGTTTTCTTGCATGTAATTTTGAGGAAGTAAATCTGTGCTACACTTAGTTGTTACTCCATCTGAATGTTGTCTTATGTGGTGCAACAATTTTATGTTGCCCCCATTCTCTTTTGCTTAGAGGCGTATGGAATTTCTTGTAAGGAACAGCAAACGTTTTTTTCCCCTTCAGACTGCAAAGGGAATGATGTAGACCTTATCTTTCATTCTTCACAAAGAGACAGTTGAAATAATTAAAGGTGTCCTGGCTTCACACATGCTGGGCTATTTCACTTACTCCTGATGTCTAACAGATAAACATTTTGTCTTTTAAGTGCATTTTTTATGTCAAGTAATGGCAGCACAGAGAACGGAAAATGTCAAAACTGGCTTGATATCTCTGTTCAGTATGTTTGACTCTTCTACAGATATCACCACTGCCATCTCCATTCTGCTTTTTCTTGTTACAATTACTATCATTTTATCAATGTGACGTATCTCAGTGATTCTTAACCAAAAGTATTGCCTACAGGCTTGGCATCTAGGAAGAAGAATCAGTTCTGAAGAAGAAAACATTTACTGAATGGACAGAAATTTAATGTTTATCTAAATGGAAAAAAAATAGGCATGTTGTAAAACCACTTCTGATTCTAGCTGAGGAGATAAGAAACAACAGAAATGCAAAATTACAGAGAACCAGATACTTTGTTAGGAGTAACTTACAGCAGTTCTAAAATAATGTGGACTTTCTACAAAGCATAAGTGTTATCAAGGGAAAACGCTCTTCATCTTTCTTTTTTTTTCGAATACTGAGTAATTAAAATTTGTTTTGTATAAGTCACATTTCTTTCCTCAGAAAGACAGTAAATAATGTATGTAACAGGAGAAATAACACTTTATCAGAGAAAAAAAAAAACTAACACGAGATTTTGAGTGCAATGGAGCACATTGCAAGAAGTCATTTCAACAATAAATTATTTACAGTGCATATATTGTGATATCAGGCCCTAGTGTGTCATGCATATGCGTTTTTCATTTGTCCCATGTTATGAAAAGGATATGAATAATATCTGACAATTTTGTGGAAGATTCAATAACCAGAAAATACATATATTTGCAAAATGTGGGAATTTGATGGTTTTACACAGAAAGAATTATCTCAAGAATATTAATGTATTCTTTGAGTTCATACAGTGATTTAATAGTTCATCTAATATTTATCTTCATTATTTCTCTGCTCTGTGTTTTAGACAATTTTTTTAGTGTTTATATAGATTGGGTCAGGTTACTTCAAATACAGAGCTTGCTTTAAATATACAGAGAATTGATAAAATCTTGTAAAATCTCATTGAATTTTATTCTGAAGGCCATTCTAGTAGGTATTCGTCAAATTAATTCTGTTGGTAAGAATTAATGCTTTCCTACTTTCACTTACTTTGCATATGTTTTTAATATGTGGACCAGCAGCAAAGTATATGCCATCTTGTTCTTAGTCTCCTTGGTTAGACTAAATAATAATCTTCAATTATAAATTGTCTTTAATTGGCATCACTCTGTCATCGTTCTGTTTGAGAGGCAAGAAGACAGTCCATCAGTGATCTGAAGAAGTAATCTTTTTAAACTGAAGTACTGTCTTTTCCAGTGTTATTACTGATGAGCTTGTACTTGAAAACAGAAAACAGCAGTGAACATAACAGAAGTTATCAAATGCTTTATAACAATAGAAATGTCCTAAAAATACTGTCAAAAAGTTTTAACTATCTGTTTATAGGTGATGGTACAGACACTCACTGTGAAGCTCATATTATTTTCTATTTTTTTAATAGGAGTTTTCTAAATAATGTCTTTAAATTTTTTTTGGCTTTTTTTCCCAGATAAGGATACAAATCACTTTGAAGCCATATGGCAGCTTGAATAACTGGCTTAAAAGTCTTGGGAAGGAAGAGCTGAACACCTACATGCTGAGTTTTGGTCCTTTGCTTATGGAGCGCGCCAGTCATTCGTGTCACTGGCTAGCAGTCTCTGGCTCAGTCCCTTTAGTTTTTGATGCATGTGGCACCAGTTTCTGATGCTGCTGTTGCTTTCAAATGTTTGACAGATGTATTGGTTTTGATACTGTTCTTCACACTGCAGCTCAGAATGGGAGTTCTGCAGTTTCAGAACCTTAAGTACTTAGGCTGTACCTTGCTGTCTTGAGGACTTTCTGCTCTGATTTTCCTTTGTACTGGTTTACAGTGAGGGTAGTTACTGTGCAGTGAACTGCTGACTCCTTCCCTTCTGCGTGGTTACTTTTCCAAGTTGATTGCTCTTGGTTACCAGAGCACATGCCCGTGTTTCAAACATAATAAATTAACTTTAAAAGCTGTGTTCTGAGAAGAGCAGCCTTTCTGTTACTTTCAGATTTTGAACACTAAAAGCGCATGAAGATAATCTTCCTCCTTCCTCCTCTTTAGGGCACATACTGCTGTGACAAGTGATTTGTTTGTTCTGGGCTTGTTTGTTTATTTGTTTGTTTTGTTGGTTTTGCTGTTTATATGTGACTACGTAATATGATTCATTTTCAACCTTGCAGTATGTCCATTTTATTTATACATTTTCTAGCATAATTTCAGTTTCTTTTAACAGAACAGATTGAGTCTTTCTGAAAGGTTCCGGGAGAGATTTCCAAACTGCAGGGTAAAACTTGAGAATTAACAGCAAGAACAGATACTTGGATTTCTAGCCTAAAATCACAGAGTAGCTGAAAACTGTAATGCAGAATTTCTGTGTGCTGTGCCTCCAGTAATTGTGGTTCCTGGTGGTACATAATTTCAACTTCAGAAATTGTCATTAATATCTTTGTCTCAGCAGCTGAAGCCTCATCAGATTTACTGTTTCACTGCTTGATATGGTGTTAAAGTAGGAAACAGCTGCTTCTGCTATTCTAAAACTGATAATTGACTGCATAAATCTATATTCAATTAAATGTCATGGGAAGCATTATTCAGTTGTGTGGACTTTCTGCAGTGAAAAATTTGGGTGTCTGGTTTACTTCAGTATTTTAATTCTTTATTTGACTGTTTTACTTGTTTTGATTGATTCACAGAATTGTTAGGGGTGGAAGGGATTTCTGGAGACCATTTAGTCCAATCCCTGACCATCTAGTCCAACCCCAGAATGCTTAACAGGTCATTGGATGAAGTATATCTGCAAAAGTTACAGTACACAAAACTGGTAATGAAGAATCCTCTGTATACCACAGCTGAGAATGAAAAGAGACCATTTAAGACTAAAGGAGCATTAAAATAGTCTCTCCATAATATAAGTCTGTTAATGGCAAATAAAATCCTCTTTATCAGAACTGTGGGCATTTTGTTTACTCCTAATTTATTAGCCTAGGGAGCAGCAGGTTAACTGGGGACTAAGCAGGGAAGGAGAGATAGGAACATCAGACCCTAGTCACTTAAATTCAGGGTTAAACCAAGATTCTTTTGGTCTGGGTAGGAAAAATGCCAACCAGATGTCTTCAAGAGCTAAAAAATCACAAAGTTTACTAGTGAATTATAGAAGATGAGGAACTTTGTCAGAGAATTTAGTTCAACATGAAACACCACAGCACAGACATAGCCCACTGAACACAGAAAATGTTTAAACCCATTTGGCATTGTCTTCTGTGAAAAGAAAGTTAGAAGGCAAAAGGGGGAAAGATGTAGAAAAAGAGACATAACCACTGCCTTCAGGGTTCCAGTGGTGTAAAGCCCCAAGATGGAGGTAGAGTTAGAGAGCAACATGCTTGCGTCATGGTTAGTCTTCTTAAAAACCCTTCCTACCAGGTGGGTCTTTCAGTTGCTCAGCCATTTAGGGGGCTGGGTTAGGCAACACAGGGAGGCTGCCTCTATTGTGCCGTTAGTTACAGACACTGTGGGGCTGGGCCAGGGCACCACCTCACCAGAGTAAGGGTTCACCCACCCCCCACCACATATTCCAAGCCCCCAAGAGGTCTTGAAACAGATTTCCACTCTGACAGAACATTATTTGAACTACTCCTTCCCAGTCCCGTCACAGATACAAGGTAATCTTATATTTTTATGCATAAGGCTAGTATTCTCTTTTGCCAAGTGATAATTGCACACAGCTCCCTCTCTAATTTAAAACAAATAAATGGAGATCGGTCTTAATGGGATTTTGGCGGGTGTCTTAATTACAGAAGATGGAATAAAGTATTTCCTTGTTTGTTGTGTCGTTGCTACTTGGCCTGTCACGTTCCAAGCCTGAAAGTGGCATCAAGTAGTAGCTTCAAAAGTTTGCAAACTCCTGGAAGTGTGTTTTAAGTCAGCCTTATTTGTGAAATATGATTGAGCTTTTGGATGTAGTGTATGATCACAAGTAATGAATTTTAGTATTTGTTCAGCTTAACACTTGGATGCTAACTTTCCTTCCTTTGTTGCCTTTAAATGTAACATAGTTATGCTGATTTTTTTTAGTGAAGTATATTGACTACAATAGCTGATCTTTAGAGCAAAGATGCGTCTGACAATGAAGAAAGCATGGATTTGCAGGAAATGAAGAAAGCAGGTCACCAATGTGACCTCTTTTGTGAAGTAGCTGTGTGAGTGAAATGGTTCAGATGATGCTGACAATAGAAATAAAAGGGAGGCTTTCTGGTGTTCCAGCATCTGCTGGTGTATACTTTCTGTATACTATATATCTCTTCATGTTAGAGGTGATAATAACTTGCAGTGAGTGCTTTTGTTTGTAAAGGCAGCAAATAATGTGTTTGGAACAGTAGTGAGGGAAGGGAGAATGTTTCCAAGAGAAATAGGAAAAAAAACAAATAAATATTGTTTATTCTTAAGATGCTTATAAGAATCTAATGCTATATTCATTAAACACAGTATACTTTGTTAGAAATACATTAGAATCCTATTAGAATAAAGGAGTATGTGTTTGATTAATTGTGAATAAGATGATAGGTCAGTTTTCTTGGGGAGTATGTGAAGACTGCTGATGACGTAATCAGACAGGTGTGGAATGGCTGGGATGCCACTGTGAATTTAAAGCAAGCTGTCTGCACATGTGGAAGATGAAAGCATCAGATCAGGTACACTCAGATCAGGTGTGATTCATGGTCATATCTGAATGAGCTCATACTTTTTAGGCGTGTTTTTTGAAAGCTTTGTTTGATAATATTGACAGTAGACAAATTACAAAGTAAAGATTGGGGAAGGTGCTGTGGATCTGCTAATGGATGTAGATGCTCCAAGAGGTGAGGGACTACAAAGAATCAAATGCACTAAAAGGCTGAAGAAATGATCCAGAAAGATGCTCCATTTTTGTGTATGATAGTATAATATGTTTTTAGCTATTTAGAATTATCAGTATCTTTATGGGATCTTTTATTAAAAAACCCACCCAAGATAATTTTGAAAGACAGATGTCAGTGATAGGTGTGTTATGTGACACCGTGCAGAGCTAAGACCAGGCTGAATAGGGTTATGAACTGGTTATGACTTCTAGGTGATAAAAAATTCCTTTCCTGTGGTCTTCTCTCAGCCCCTTGTATTGCATTTTCTGACCAAGCTCTGTTTTATTTTTAGGAGCAAAGCTTTGTGTTTAAAATGGAAGTTGATGTGACTGGAGAGTCCAGAACTACCCTCTCCACCCTCTCTGTGCCTCTTGCAGACGTGAGTTCTGCAGCCAGGACGGAAGCAGAAAAGCCACGCTGTTCCAGCACCCCCTGCTCACCATTGAGGCGGACAGTTGCAGGATATCAGATCCTTCACATGGATTCTAACTACCTGGTTGGCTTTACAACTGGAAAGGAACTGCTAAAATTAGCCCATAAGTATATTGGAAGTGAAGAGAATAAAGGAGAATCTGGTCCTAACTTGGGCTCCAAACATCTTGATTCAGGACTTTCACGTTCCTCGCGTTTGTACAAAACTAGAAGTAAGTACTTCCAGCCCTATGAGATCCCAGCAGTAAATGGAAGAAGGAGGAGACGGATGCCCAGCTCTGGGGATAAATACAATAAAGCTTTACCATATGAACCTTACAAACCACTTCATGGTTCCCTGCCTCTCTGCCTTTTGAAAGGTAAAAGGGCTCATTCAAAATCCCTAGACTACCTCAATTTAGACAAAATGAGCATTAAGGAACCTGCTGACACAGAAGTGCTACAATACCAGCTCCAACACCTTACTCTTAGAGGGGATCGTATGTTTTCAAGGAATAGCACATGAGCTATCATCTCAAATTTAGAAATTATTTCTGATCTTTTGTCTCTTGCTGCAGAAATCCACTGTTGAAGTGAGTACATAACTGTTCACATTGTAGGTGGTTTTATCAGCTCAGTGTTACCAGGAAGTAATTTATTTGAATACAGTCTGGGCAATGAAGTGTTCTGCAAATACTTGGAGAGTGAAATCTTTCCTGATCCAGCAGCTTCTGATGCAGATTTGACTGCAACTAGTGGATATTTCTTTGGACACATTTTAACAAAAAAAAAAAAGCTTTTGATTTTTGGGATTTTTTTTCTGTACTGCTACATCTAGTGTTTTCAGTAATTCAATACTGAAAAATTTGTGGTGTCTGCTTGGTTGTTTCTAATTTTGACTTGATATTAGAAACTGCTCTTGGATTATTACCCAAGGAGGGTTTTTTTTGTTTACTTTTTGTTCCTGTAGTAAAATATATGTGGTTTTCTTGCAGCATGGACAAGAAAGTGAGCTTGACTGGATGAACCAGTTGCTATTTAAACAATCCAATTCATACATTTTGAGACTGCGCTTGTACTAGTGATCTGGGTGAGATTTATTCGTAAAAGAAATGTTTGCTACTTGAATCCTATCAAAACTGATTTTTTAGTTTCTGCATTGAAGTAATTGCTTTGTCCTTTTTATTCTATAGAACATGTTCAGAATAAATCTTTAAGTTATTTAAAGCAAATCTTTCAAGAAATAAAGTGATTTTTTGTTTGTTTTTTGGGGTTTTTTTTTGTTAGATTTTGTTTTTACATTGTTTAGAGACAGAAAATGGAATGTCTGTACTGGTATGTTGGTAATGTTTTTGATTTTAATTTGTGATTTTCATTTCATCTGTAGTAGCAGAAGGTATCAACTTCAGCATAGCTTTGGAAATTTTTGTTTACTTGAAGCACTGAACACAAGCTCTGAAGGGCAGATTTTTTTTCTTGACAAGAGTGAAAGTGAAATATTTCTTGTCAGTGTTGAAGAGATGATCTTGAATTTTACAGCAGAATAATGCACTGGTTACTTTTGTTAATAAGTTTTTATCCAAATATGACATCAAATGCAGTTTTGACAGCTGTATTTCTAGATGTGTTTGGAACATTTTGTTTAATTAGTGTTTATTTTACTTTAGTTTAAAAATGGAAGTTTTCATACTGTATTTTTTTAGATGCAGTCTTGTACTGAAGCAGTACATAACTTGATTTTTTTCCTGATGACCTCTGCAGAAGTTAAAAATAATTTCATATTGCTTTGAAGCATAAATTATTTGATCAGTTTTTTCTGATAGGGTCAAGATTTTTTTTGCTTGTTTGTTTATCACTCAGAATTACTAGAAAGCACTAGTTAGTGCATGTGCTCTGGGAAATGAAGAGTTCTTATGCTGTTGCTCTACAGTTTAAGTGAAGGTAGCCCACTAGTGAGCATTTTGTAGTTTGGTTATCTTTTATAGTTTTATTAGAAAATACAAAAAAACACCAATGTGTATTTTTCAAAGTTAACTGCACTGGTGTAAATTTAATGCATTTAAGATTGATCTTGAAAGTAAAGTCTTCCTATTAGTCTTTAGTTTGAAAAACAGAATACGGTCAAATGCCAAAGAGCTGGTGGGTTATTTAAGGAATAAACACTACTACTACTGTTTATTGAAATATGAAATTAATTTGTATTTCTGGCTGAAAAATAAAAAAGGTATTATAAACAGTTGTTGTTGTGAATTCATTTGCTGTGTAGGGGAAAAAGAGGTTACATTACCCTAATATTTCAATACCCAGTTCTGTCTCACACTGTTCTTAACTTACTCTTAGGGAGTTTGGTGGTAGAGTGACATTGATGTAAACCTACAGAGGCCATGTTAGAAGTGGGGAAAGAAGACTATCACTTTTGGGGGAAAAACCCAGAATCAGTTGTCTTGTGTTAAAAACAAAAGAGAAGGTAAGGAAATTAACTAACCACATTGCATCCATTTTTAGGAGACAAGTTGTTTCACCCTGCATATGCTTGGTATCACTTATCAAGAAATTGACCGGGAGTAAAAAGAGAGGGAGTTTCTCTTTAAGAGGAGGAGGGGAGCCTTGCACAGTGCTTTAAGTTCTGTGGAGAGTGGAAGGACAGAAAGAATTCACCATAATATATCAGGGAAAGGCTGGAGAAATAAATCAAAAACCTCAGAGGAGCAGCGCTACAAGAACAACAGGAGTGTAGTTCCAGCGTCAGAAAAAGCAAAGACGTGGAAGAAGATGGTGTGCTGGCCTCAAATCTCTCCAGGTAGCAATACAATGTTTCTGCTCAGCTAAGGAGGCTGATGAGATGTCTTAGCAAAATGCTGTGATCAGTCTAGGCTGCAGTGAAGGTAGGAAGCAGGAATTTGAGGCTGTGTGTGTAACACTTTCATATTCTTAAGGTTAGATGAAATTCAGATGAGAGTGCTGAAAGAATAAAATAATAGTCTTTATTCCAATGGAGCATGGCCTGAATTCAAGTTCTGTGGTGTTTTATGAGACTGAACAGCCCTACACAGTGTGAATAAGTAGCTGGTGCAGTTTTGTAGTTTGAGAAGCTCTCTGAAAAAGCAGAACTTTTGTCTGTTAAGTTCCTTTATTATTAATTTCAGTTTTAAAATATTAAGCATCTTTCAAGCTTTGTTATATATTATGGTGTAAGTACCAACTATGATTTCAGGTAGGATTAGTGCTGCATTCTGTTTTGGCATTTTGCTAGATTCTCCCCTTCTGAAGCTCCTCATGGGCTGTTCCTTCTGTGATGAGGCAGAAGTGCTAAAATATGCAAGAACATTGAGAACAGCACTGACAGCCTGAACCCTATGAGAAAATGGAGCAAGCTACAATTTGCTGAAGTGTTTTACATCAGCTCATTTTTCAGGAAGTCAAATAATGTTCAAAAAAAGCATGACATACTGGGATGCCTTTAGAAGTCTTATCTCAGGCCAGGAATTTTGCAGGATAGTGCTTCATGGTGTGAACTATAGTCTGCAAATGGATAAAAGCAGAAGGGGAGAGAGAATGTTACTGTGCACTGGAATGTCAGGTGGTGGAATGCCAACTTTTTAAGCTAAGTGGATGAGAGGAGAAAAAAAGAGTGTATTAAATGCAAATTAATTTGTTTCTGCCTTATCTCAGTGGTTTTAAGTTTTTAGTGTTAATTGTGGTGAACATCTTCCAATTTTTATGAAAATTGGAGGATACCCAGACTACCTACAACTCCAAGTGACTGACTATGCAAGATTTTTATCTATCCATCTGTAACAATGCTTTCTATAGAATTTGACTATTTTTATTTTTATGAGACTATCAATATTTAGCTGATATTTTTTTCAGAATTAATCTTGTGAAATAGATAGTTGGCAAAAAATATTGAAGCAAGAAATACTGATGGGAGTCTCAGTAAAAATGGTAGATAAACCTTCATGTAAATAATTGGCCATCCTATCAGTTTAATAACTTTGAAGTAGAATTGCAAACCTAGAGAAGAAAAAGAATCATTCACCACCCCCAGATGCAGAGGTGGGATACAATGGTCTCTAAAGACTGCTCCAATCTGTATCCAATTTTGCTCCAATTAATCCAATTTTGAGACACAGTCATGTTTCAGAGATGATTAAGTGCTTCACGGATGTAGTAATATTTCAGAGAGGCTTTTAGAAGGCTGGAGTACCCAGTTCTAGAAACACAGTCATTTAGGTCCAAGATCATTGTGTCTCCAACCATTAACCCACTGCCAAATCCATACTAAACCATGTCCCTGAGTTCCTCATCTACAGGAATCGTTAATGCCATCATAGCCCTGGGCAGCCTGTTCCAGTGCTTGAAAACCCTCAACAGGAAGAAATTTCCCCTAATATCCAAACTAAACCTCCCCTGGTGCAACTTGACACTATTTCCTATTGTCCTGTTGCTTGTTTTTTAGGAGAAGAGCTGCCACCCCCGGGCTGTACCCTCCTCTCTGGTCATTTTAGAGAGCAACAAGGTTCTCCCTAAGCCTCCTTTTCTCCAGGCTGAGGCCCCCCGCCCCTGAACTGCTCCTCATCAACTCCATTAACTTCTCTGGACTCACTCAACACTTCAATGTCTTTCTTCTTGTGGGAGGCCTAGAAGTGAACGCTGGATTTGAGGTGTGGCTGTCTTTGAATGTTTTTATCTTGCTTCCATTTTCAGTAGGCCAGTGATGCATTTGAAATAACCTCTTCTGTCTCCTTAGATCTAGATTCTAAGAAATGTGGAGGGGGAGGGAATATTTTTTACTCTTACATATTCTTGTTATATAATACATGCTTTAAATTATTGACTGCATAGTCATCCAAGATTTTGATCAGTATTGAAATTGCTACTGCAGTAATTGGTAACTTTTCTGTCTGGCCTCAAAATGAAGTATATTTCTAAATTCATATAAATGTTGGCATTTTCCCTACTTACATGATTTAGGCTTTGAGTTAATGGGAAGATTGACACTGGTTTTAACATTAGAGGATCTGGACTTCAGAAAAATTAAGCTGTGACACTTTTTTGCTGTAAAACCTCCAATCAGCTGCCTGCATTCATATCTCCTCTGGGGTTCTTGTTGAATAATTTAGAACTTCAGCCAGAAGGTAAGACTTTTTGGAATGAAAATATTGCCTCAGGTGGCTGATTTTCCAGGGAAAGAATCTTGTTTTGTCTGTTTGAAAAATACTGAGACTGCAGACCCGTCGAGCTGCCCAATCCTGAGCTGATCACTTTTAATAAAGGCATTAAAAGGAGAAAAAGTCTCCTGCCCTGTTTATTTCAGGTAATGCTGCTTGCTGAGACAATTTCTACACAGGAAGTAATTGTAGTATATGGTAGAGATAATTCATGCTGTATATATGTATAAAATATTGTAGAATCTAAGGTACGTCTGTGACCACCCTGGCTGGGAGCAGAGTCTTACGTTTATTCAATTAGTTCCCCGACAATGTTAAGATAAGATCAAGTCTGTTAACGTATGAAATAAACCTTCCTGGGCCATGATTGCTAGTTTCCTTGGAATGTCTAAACCTCTCACGAGGACCTGCACCTGGGAAGATTGCATCTGCCGTACTCAAGCACGGGTGCCATTTTGCTACATACGAATACAGGTGTGGACATCTGGACTTACCTTTGACTATTCCTGCACATGTATGGCCCCAGTTCTACATGTGAAGAGACATAAAGAAACGTGCAGTCATCCCTGCCTCAGGCAGAATTAACTGTATATAAGCTAAGGCTTGAAACAGTCGGTGTGAACCGCTGGGGAAACGCTGACACTTTGTCGGTCAGGTCTCAGTTCGCCCAGTGCCGGCACACAGGACTGGCGCTGTCTTGGCTGTGGTGGGTTTTTTTTGAAATTCTGTTTTTTGTTAACGATCTAATAAATCATTGTTAAATTTTCTTATAAATTTGGCTACAGATTTGATAATTTGTAATGTAATCATTTTATCTAAGGCTCCCTTTTAAAATTAATATTTTCTCTGATTGAAAGACTAAATCTGTCTTTAATCATCCAGATTAAATGACATCATCAGAATGCTGTAAACTGGCTGAAGGATTAAATGCCCACTATCAAAATGCAAATCTAATTCTGAAGTTGGAAAAGGCTGCCATTTTTAATTCTTTGATCAGCATTAACTAACTACACACTATAGCTGAATAAAAAGATCTTTATTACAACATGTGTTATATATAGGGAGATTTTTTTTTTATATATTTAGCAGACAGCTGCTTTCTCAAAGAATTTTTGGAAGAAGCTTTTCTGCGCTTTGTTCCAGCTGAACACTTACCTATGGATGAATTACTGGTATACCTCTGTAGTAACATTTACATTATAGTTAGATTTATAATTGTTATACGAATAAAGAAGTCAGGTAACTCACAGAATTTATCTGCAGAATTCCTACACATTTTAATTATGAAATGATGCATTTAATTAGAAATTAGGCAGTCCAGAAAGCAAGAAACCTCCAAGCAAAGCATTTTATTAAACCATATCTGACTCATTGGAACATTTTGGGTAGCTATTACAGGGTTGATGTTAAGAAAGGTTGATGTCAATAATTTAAAAGCATACTTAAATACACAGGACAAGGCAGACAGAGTATGATGGACTGCTTAGCTGGAAACAGGACTATAAGACGGTTGAAAAATTCACTTTTCTGTGGAAACAAAACATGGTAGTGAAAAGTTCTCTAAATACATCAAAAGCAGGAAGTCATTTAGGGAACAAGTGAGGAGATGACAGGAGGAAGAAATGTCAAAGAGGTGCTTGAGTAATGAGACTGACAGACTTGGCAAATTCCTTGTTTCATTTTTATTGCTGAAAATGTTAGGGAAAGTCTCATGCACACAATAAATTATTTGCACCAGAAAAAATGCATGAAATCTCAGGCCAAGCATATTGGATTGATTTGGTTTTTCTTTTTTTTCCTTAAATATTGAATTAATCAATTGGTGTCAACACCAGATTATTTAGGGAGCTGTCATATTTTCAGACAGGGGCAAAGTCCCTTCTGAAAAAATGTGTCCCAACCACGCAGGAATTACTATGCTTGGAGCAGGGGTACATCAGGTTGCCCATTAAAACTGAGGTGATGTCAGGCTTGGTTGGCATGCAATATCCCTTTGACCTCATGATTAGGAATGTATTAAAGAATTCTGTGATGGACTAACAGCTGTGGACAGTGGAGAAATACCTGT